CGTGACTGTTGAAATTCTGTTTTATTTCAGTAATATTATTATTGTCAAATTACAGTAATTTTGGAGCCACCTTCACACGCTGTTATAGATATTTTACTTACTTACATGATGTCTGTACCGGTCTATCTCATCATAATCAATTTCAGATAATTTTACCTTAAACGAATATGGCCTTGATATTTCCTTAAAATCAGTAGATAAAGAACCTTTAAAACACCTCGGCTGTCTGCTTGAATGATTCTCATCATAAAGCAGAGTTCAAGGAAACTAGGCTGGAGAGAGCTGGATAAGACTATCACTGAGGTATTTCTACCTGTAGGGTCCTGGATGGAGCATTCGTTGAGTATGTTCCAGGCGGCCTCAGCCAGACATTAGTGATTCCTGTCTCGGAGAAGTCTTTCACTGCGGACTCTCAATTAGCCGCCATCGGTTCAATGTTTTGAAAATTCATTTGATTTATAAGATATTCTAAACACACTAATAAACCATCAGCGTAGATCGCGGTTTAAACATTGACAATCTTGAAGTAAGAACTTCTTGAAAATAATAGTGTTTTCAAATAATCTTATTAATTTGGTCGCCTCTGATACATGTAATAAAAATAAATGTTTAAGATCACGAGATGGAACGAGTTACGAATGTTCCGCATTCTTTTAAAGCAAGCGCACGTGCTGTATATAGCCACATTACTGTCCTGTACTGATCTGACATTACTAAATATATAATTATACAACTCTTACATACCTAGAGGTTGCGCCATTTATGATCCTGTTACAAGTAGTTATAGGTTAGTCCCATCGAAAACCTTACTTACTTAAATCAATGTAAATTATAGTAGTTAATTGCTTAGTGATAGGGGAGATGTTTTTTTCCCCTAGTGTGAGCCCATGGGAGGCACATTTATTTTCGATGTATCAACCAAATCAAAAACACTTTTTTTTTAACGGCTTAATCAAAATTAAATAAAATCTCATACAAAAGCTTTTTAATTGAAAAATCCAAAGTGTGATCAAATATTTATTTCATCCATTTAATTGAAATATTCTGAGACAGGCAGGGATGAACATAATCCATGCTGCAGATAGGGTCGTTTGGGGCAAAATGATTTAACAGACTAAGGACCGCTTCATGCGTCTGTCGCGCCATTAAAGAAGAATCGTATTGTGTACTTTTTTTTTTTTTAACGAACCTAAATATTTTTAAAAATATGTGTGTTAATATTTTCGAAACCGTTTTTTTTTTTTGTAAAAGAATCTAATGAAATTTGCACTTATTAAGTATACCCTAAGAAATAATTCATTAAAAGCTTTTTTTTGTTAACCGTTTTATTCGAATGAAAATTTAAAATAAATTAGCCAGCAAAATTAAAGCAATTATATTGGCACTTCAAGCCTTGTCAAACTTAGGTGTAAAAAAAAAAATCCTATTTTCTGTGGATGCACAGCGGTCATCCTCGCTTTATCAAGGCCCAGTGAACACTTTGCTCAGGATATTCTGAAGTGCCAAAAGATCGCAGGGGGACTACTTCTTTAAGGAATAACGTCATTCTTTCAGAGAATACCAAGTCACTGTGGTCTCCATGGCAACAAAATGGCTTAAAAACTCGCCAAGGAAGGATCGACATTGAACTAGCCAGAAAATCTAATACCATTTCGTAGAGCCAGAAAATAAATAAATAAGACAATGAAACTCTATTACTGGAAGCCATACAGAGCAGTATTGTGAAGAATCAATGGAGGAAATTGCTTAATGAAGCAGATCGAGTACCCATAAACCTGCCGAGAAAGGAAGCTGTGGCAGAGTTACAGATGATACCAGGCCACGACTACCTTAGGAAGCATCTGCATAGAATAGGAGTGGCAAGCTCTCCATACTGCAAACTATGTAATTCGGGAGCAGATATGGATGCAGCGCTTTTAAGTGTAGGGTCGCGCTTATTGAACTTAAGCCGTCGGATACCACGGATTGGTACATGGCGGCAAGGTCTCTGACGGAGAAAGTCGATAAAGACAGGCATAATTAAAAAATAAATTAGATTAATGAAAAATAAAAATATTCTTTCCAAGCGGCCCTATTCAAGTTCAAGCCAATGTTTTTATTTTATTTTATAATTACTACTGATCAGTGATTTTCGAAAATATGCATACAAAGAAGAATTTCTGAATTTATCTTTTAAAAAATACTTCATTTTACAAATGAAATAGAAAATATAGTTTTTGTTGCATTTCCTCGAAATTTTTCAATAATTTATTGGTACACTTTGAAAATAAACGACCCAAATAGTTGATGTGTCATTTTAATAACTTCTCAGATAACCTGAACTGTTATATATTTAAATAAAACTATATCTGATTTATACTTCATAATAATTAAGTTAAATGGTGAGGGAAAAAAAGACACATAGCAATATGTGTATAGTAAACAAAGTTTACTGTACTCCGTAAAACTCTTTTTTTTTTTTTGTTTGTTTCTATTCCATTGTTCTACTTATGTTCTTTCTTACTATCGTAATAACTGGATGACCTTTCAAATCGGGCATATTACCAACAGAGGGTCGCTCGTTAACATTCTTCAGATGCCCTTGAAGCGCTAACTATGGTCATCCATTGCTTTACCTAGAAATGTCATTGATTTCCTATTAGTATTTTACCGCGACTATGTTGTACTACGAAACCTTGTGAAGAAACCAGTCCATAGTATTCTCTTGAAATCATCATGTAAACGGCTTTCTCTGTTGGTGGTAGTAATAGAATACTTTCCGCTTCGTCTGCCGATTGAATTTCGTGGCCAACATTCAACCGATAAAACGAAATTCTCCGTTATCTTCTTTTGCCATTGAGTTCGGTCACGGACTTGAATCTCACCCGCACAATCCCGTTGTTTGATAACTTTTCAGGCCTGCGAAGAATAACTTCCAATCTAGACAAAAATTAGAATGAACATGTTAGATTGCGAACCAATCTCTATTCTCCGTGTCCTATATTTCTTAACTGTTAGATCTAGGAAGACCTCGATTTCTTTTTATTATACTTTCTACATTTTATCTTTTTATTACTCTATCTTGTTTCATTCAATGGTAGTTCTGAGAAAAATAAAATTGTGCTGCTTAAGTAACCGGTTGCAAATTATTTATAATTGTTTATTTCAGCTGCCCACATCTTCGCCATTCAATGCATTGATTGAAGCAATCCTAGCTTGTCTCCTCTCCCAAGTTATTTCCCAAGTGCTAAGCAATTTAAATTTTTTATTTGAATACTGATGGGTCATGACTTCAGTGTTTATCTTAAAACTGCTTAGCATCGTTTCATAACTCGCCTCAAAGAATGTCTTCAGTAATGGAGGAACTGATTTTTAAAAAAATCGAAATTCGCTACAATCAATTTAGCAAAATTTAAAGTGGTAAATAATTTAAAATGGTAAGTCAAAAGGTTTCTTCTTATTGAGAGGTCCAAATCAGCCACAACTTTCGATTGATAAAATATCAATTTATATATTTCGTCCAATAAGTGACAATTAAATACTTTTGTATTATAGTATATTTGGAACTCTACCCTTTTCCATTCCGATGCTAATCAAAATAAAATTACAATAATTATAGTTTTTTTTTTTTTCATTGCAGGTTGGTTTATAAAATCTCGTCAATTGAAATCACAAAAAAATAGTATTCCTTCCTATACGTAGGACAACGCAAATTTGTGTTTACTGAAAAATTCACAACCCCGTAAAAATATGTCCCCCTCAAAAATCATGATGTTGAAATTCTTCAAGCAACCCTCTTCTTGGTATCCCTTGATAACTGTTATCTTAAATCTTCTTAAATTATGACTAGATAGATTATTTATTTCCTGAATCTAAAAATAATGTCATTATAGTGGTTATATTATATACTATAAATAACATATACTTATTGAATTTTTGTATTCAATAGTTGTACATTTCAACAACATTAACAAATTAAAAAATATATAATAATGTTTACTGCGTGTGTTTGAGAAAAAGGTTTACATCACTTTTTCATGAAAGAGAAAAAATAATAGTCAAAACTACCAAAAAGGTAAATTGATGTAAAATAATACACAAATAGAAGTTCTATTTTACTACAAATTAAATAGAAGACGAAATAATCTTCGTGTTTTCAAACTTGTAACTATACTTACTTCTGATTAACCGAAAAGCTTGAAATTCGCATGAATGTAAGGTTTTAAAAAGAATTATGTATGGACTTTCATTTGTGCAGACATGTAATCTTTATGTTCACTATTGTTATTGTTGTTATTTATCCCTGTACATGTTTCATTTTTCCTGGCATACGATATTAATGGCATGAGTAAAATAAAAAGAACTGTAAGATAACAGACAATTTTATTGTCGTCCGTGGCACAAGTCTTCTCGGGAAGTTACTGAAAAAGTTACGTTTGAATCAATACCCCTTGTTAAACTAACAACTTTTTAATTTATTGGAGTTGTTGAAAACGTCAGTTATGTACTTAAAACTATTATTTTTTTTCTTGAACGCATAGATATAACGGTACCTGTGTTAAATTTGCTTGTTTCATATATTGGTGTCATGACATATCTTTAAGGTCAAACATGCTTAAGCGTTTTCTGTCATTATTTAGGGTCAATCGCTATATCCTTAATATTCTAATTTCAAGGACATCCTTGCTGAACAGGATTGGGACTTTTTATTGAATGTGTTGGATGCTTCATTAACACATTTTGAACCTTTCCGTCACGATATTTTAAGATGTTAAGATTTGAAAACGAGGTATCATCCTTATTATACTATACCTTTTTTCTTCGATTAATCGAACTCTATGTATTGATTCTATGTAGCACAAACTGAAAATTAAGCTATTCAAGTCTTGGTCCGTGATGGTTCATTTCATAGACCCTGTACGGAGACCTGTTTAAAGTTGCTTCCGGTCAATATTCTTTAATTTAAAATGTAATATTGATTAATTTATCTTACTCTTTACTGACATTTCTTTTTGTTTGTTACAGCCTCAGGTGTTTTCTGTCACTTCACCAAATGGAGTCAAGAGGCGGCAAGACCTGGGACAGCTGGGCATCGATGATATGATTCAACTGAAGTAAGCGAAAATTAGCTGTAAATATTAATTTTATATGAGTATTGGTATATGAGGATAGTACAATTGGTCAAAATTCGCTCCACTCCCGAAATGAAACATGATAGTTTCGGATGTTGACCTGAACTGATACATTGAGGAAATGTTCATGCCAGGAGCCGAAATGTATTGCGATTACTACACCAATTTTAAAAATACTGATTAAAAGATGAAAATTTTCTTAAAAATATACTATTTCCTTTTATTAGATATCGTCGGTTTATTGCAAAAATTTAAAATGTACTTTTTTTATGAATCTAAACTTCTGACTACATTTCTGTGAATTCTGAACTTATTTATCCTGGCAAACTCGTAAAAAGTGATAATTATAAATAAAAATTACCCAACCTCTTTTATACATAGTAACAATAAGAGCACGATGTCCTGAATTCACAGAGAGAAAATTAATCAAAGATTTAATGCCAGGACATAATTACTTAATGACTTTCTACTATAAACCGACAATTAGCAAGTACATTCCCGTTAGGTTGAGTTGGAAATGGTATTTCCTTGGTATTCGTTTTAATTACTTTTTTTTTCATTTTAAGGTTATCAGTTTTTCATGTTTTGATAATTTACATTCATCACATCAGGAGGTTTATGAGGACATGTTTCTCTAACCAGTCCATCAAGAAGCCTCAACTCAGCGACGAATGCTTCAATAGTTGGAAAGAGACTAGAAAAATGCAAAAAACTAAATGGACAGATAGAAGATGGTGATGATAGTTCCAGATGGAAAGAGATTAAGAGGTTCAAGCTTGCAAAAATTTGCTCGGATCTGTAAAGCCAGCAGAAAAAAAAACATGATCATAAACTTACACAGGTTATGATATAAAGCAGTCAATGGATTGACTGTTTAGGGTACAATTTCTGTAGGTCTTAGCCTCCGACATTATCGTCATTCGCTCGTTCCTGTCAGCAGCCTAGCGTCTCCATACCCTGTCTTCCATCCGTCGCAGGTCTGTCTTTCGTTCGCCTTCCTCCTTGCAGTTGGTAACATGGTGACCAAGGCACCGTATTCTTGTCGACTTGATGAATACCGCCATAATAATATGATGAAACAATCAATAAAAAAAATATTGATCATGGTTAAAATATAATAAATGTTTTATCAGTATTTTGAGCACTATCTTTTTCATAACATTCTCTAAATAATTTAAGCCATCAATCTTAAAAATTAGTCGAGCCGTTCGCTCAAAACATTTTTACATACCTTTTAACGGAAACTCGTTTTATACGATAATTCGTCTGTGTTTGTCTGATAATAGTTGTAATGCAGGAACCAAAGGAATACGAGCGCGCCCGAAAGATTACAACAGTCTTCCATACGTAACATGAGTTTAATATAATACGAGCTCCGACAATGTTATGTACATATACATATGCAGTTTTCATAAATGCTATGGTTGGTATTATTTAATATTTAACTGTATAGAATATAGCAACATAAAAATTAAAATTTGTATATTTAAACAAATAAAAAAACCCACAATGAAATGTAAATAAATATAGCGTCTATAATTTTTACTTTCGCTTCCCCTTTTGTCTGAAAATACTTGAATGTACTAAGAAGAGGGTAGTAAGTGAAAGGCGTGTGATGCGCAGATTTTTGTAAGGTTTAAATAAATTCTTACTGTATAAAGTAATTGTTAACCTTGACTTTTGTCTTACTCATCACTTTCTAATAATCACGAATTTCTTAGTTTGCTAGCATTAGTTCTAATGGTGTAATTTTCAATTTTCAGTGACCTCAACGAAGCTTCATTATTATGGAATCTGAAGATACGATACGACAAGGAATTAATTTATGTAAGTGCATCTTATATAATCATTTATATATACTTATTCAATTTGAAATAGGTAATTTATATATCTTAATTATGTATTTATTATTACTTTTATGACTATCTATTATGGAATCGTAGTAATTTGAAAAATTATTTTTAATTTTGTGTTTGTGAATAATATTTTGGTTCATTTGTTATCCATTTTTTGTAAACTTTATTAATTAACTCAGAACTGATTAACATATACCAAAATTGGTAAGAGGTTGGTAAGTCATAAAAATTTTACGAAACATTTTGGAAATCTGACGGCATCAAGAAGTCTGGAAGAATAGAATGAGTGTCGGACTTTGTTTAAAAACCTTTTAGTCATTCTTGGCTACCTTGCTGAAGCGTGGCTGATCTTTTTTATTCTCATAATAATCTTGTGGCGTGTACATATTCTTAACTTTTTTCATTAATAAAGAAAGAATTTAATAGCTGGTATTTATTGACGTGAACACCTTCCTACATTTCATATAATATATAATTTTTATTATAAAAGTTTAACATCAAAAGACAAACATTGACGTTACCGATACACCTTCATAAAACGGTTAATTTTTTTCTTTGCGATTAAAATAATTAGGGATTAAAAAATTTTATCATGTCAGGTTTCAATTTATTAGGAATAATAAGCACACGATTTTGTGAAAAAAATAATTACCTATTTTAAGCTCTGATTTATCATAAGACAACAAAATTACAAGAGACGTAAAGATAAATTAACTAATTCTTATCAGTATTCTCATAAAAGATAAACTCGATACCTGTCTGATTTATCCAAAAAAATAAATAAATAAAAAATGTTGTAATCGTTGCCTCTGAGTCATAGTCTGTGGTACAGACTCCTTTTATCAGATCATTAACATCCACCTAAAACTTAATGAATGATTTAATCTTATCGTAACCCATACATTTTTTATCTACGAAAATTCTCAGAAATGGAGCGTTTTCCCATTAAATTAATTAATTTAATTAGGTACTAACTACTCATAAATACCCATTTGCTCTCCAGTTGAATCATAAGGTAATTTGATAACAAAATCGAAAAACAGGGTAGCATAAAAAAATATTGGCCTTTAGGCCTATATAACCTCTTTATTTTGACATGTTGGGGGTGGATATCATGCCAAAGGGCCCAAAATTTGTGTGCGCCACCATATTGTCGGTTTCGTGATAAAATCTTGTTATTCAAGTGGAAAGCAAATGAATGTTCATAAGTTTTTGATACCTAATTAATTAAATAAAATGTACCGATCTGCAGATTGAAAACGTCACGGTTCCTAGAATTTTCGTAACTGAAAAATTTATAGGTTACTATGAGATGAAGCTATTTACGAAATTTTAGGCGGATGTTAATAATTTGATAAAAAGGAGCCTGTACCTCGGTACTATATACTATTCTAAATATTTCTATTTTAGAATAAAAATTCTATTATTGACAGCTGATAAGAATTAGTTAATTTATCTGTACGTCTCTTGTAATTTTATCGTTTTATGATAATTAAGTTATCTGTTTGCCTCTTATTGTAATTTTGTTGTTTTATGATAAATCAGGGTTTGAAATAGATAATTTTTTTTCACAAAATCATGTGATTATTATTTCGATTTTTAGTTTAAATAAAAATCATGTCTAATTTATAAATAAAAATGTAATCAATCTTTGATGTTTATTTATTCGATTAAAAATGGTGATCACTCACTGGGCGATACGGTTTTACATAAATAATAATGATTAAATTTTGATCATAAAATAAAAGTCACTTTTTACACACAAATTAAATAAAATAATAATATGTATGTACACACTTTTAATATTATATTTCTGAAATAATTTTCGGAAATAAAGATGTTCTGTTGCTAATAGTTGGCAACAGTAATCTCCAGCTACTACCGCAGACTAAAAATATATCATAGAGATTACAAAAAAATTATATTCTGATTTTAAAAAATGTCACTTAAGAATTATTATTATTGTTAATTCTAAGAAATTTGTTCAAAAATAATAATTATCGCATAATTTTTATCACTTATGATCCAAAATCGCTCATAATAAAAATCATAGAATGATTTTTAAAAATTTTGATGAGATTAGATTTCTATTTTTATTTTTTTAAATATCGATTTCAAATCCAGTGATAAATAAATAATAATAATAAAGGTTGTTTTTTTTATTATTATATTCAGAAGAAAAGTAGATTCGGCTCTGCGTTGTGCGACTGCTTTCCAGTTCCTCTGATCTCAAATACATTCCTAGCATTTGACTGCCGAACTATCGGTCCACCTTAGCTTGGGTCATCATGATCTTCGGGATGAAGCTCCTCGAGTACCTTCCTTGGGATCTCGTTCATTCATACTCACCACATGAATTGTCCATCCTTGTCTAACTTGACAAACACAATTTTATCCAGTTTGCCATATATGTCATATAATTCCTTACGCTTCCTTAATGTTCATTCTTCATACAAAGAATAGGCCCCTTTCCTCGAGCTTCGAGATGGTTCAAGTCTGCTTAGCACAAATCAGTCAACGTAGCGGCAAGAGGTTTATAAAGGATATCAAAACTGAAGATCAAAACAGAATTGTACCGTTGGCATCAAGAGGCGAGATTTTCAATTCAATTCGATTAAAAAAAATCTTCAATCCTACATTGCTAAAAGTTGAGATCACTAACTCCAACTATTCCAAACTATTCTTAAACCTAGTTCAAATAAAACCATAGTTAGTTGTGAACAAAGTTCTAAAATTTAATGAATTATTTTTGTTTTGGCTTAAAGTTGGTAATGTAGTCCGTTATAGCGAATAATTATTTTAATAATTAATAAAGATTGAGCGTGTTCTGTTAATGCTCAAAATGTGAAGGTTATGAAATGTAATATTTATTATTCTTCTATGTAAGAAGAAATAATCTAATTGAATTCATTATACTTTTTAGCTTCGCTTAATATTCTTTCGGTAGCAATTGAGGTTGAAATATTCTAAGACATTTCTCACTTCTTCGTACATATAGTATCTGCATAGTATAGTAGTCGTTCATGCTATATTTTGCATTCAAATTGTTTACTTGTCCAAGCAGAATAACAATTAATTCTTAATAAGAAACTATTTTATGTATATTCCAATTTTATTGGAACAAAGAAAAGAAAACTTATTTTCCCATAAGCTATTCGAAATCGCTCCGACACAGAGCAACAATTTCGCATTCTACACGAACTAACTATTAGCCGTGGTCAAACGAGTTCACCATCTGACAATAGTGCCCGTTCAGTTACGGAACCTTGACTCGCAATGCAACTGTGATTGTTGTACACAATGTTGTCCTAATTCCGTTCTTCCTCCATTCATACCTATTAATTTTCGATTCACTGTCGAAGTTAAATTTATTCTCAGTTATTCGCCTCATTTTAACTACAACCTTTCATTCATTTAAGTGCACGCAGATCGTTATTAAAGCTTTTTTAAAATCTTACCGACATTTCCTGTCTGTCGTTAATAATTATCAGAATTCAGGTTTCTAAGAGCATATTTTTGTGACCGTTGTTAAATGTATACTTGATTTATGACCATGGATAATTCAGTATTTGAGGAAGGAGTGAGTAACTTGACCCCAAACTTGAGGAAGGAATGTGGTCGAAAGCTACAGGCAACGAAACCACCGAAGTCATTAGCGTGTTCCTTTAATTGTTAATTAAACTATTAAATAAATTAAAACATTGTGAGTATTGTTGAGCAATATCACCTTCATTGCGTCTGGCCAGATATGGGATTATTTTAATTAAGAAAGGAGCTCCACTTTCTCTTTTGTACTGTTGGTATTTTTCTGAAATAAACTTATTTTTTATCTTTAGAGCATTTTTTATAACATTATATTCCATATTATGGTATCTTAATTGATATGAAAGAATTGTGTATTTTTTATTACATTTTTATACTATTACTTAGTCGACTAATGATGTGTAATGAAGTTCGACTTTATCTTGCCTCCAAAAAATTAATTTATATCTTAGGCGTTTTTGTATTATTTAATAGTTGGATTGTGTTTCTTTCAGATGCTTCTAATTCTTTATAAATATGCTAAAATTAATATATTTCATATTTTTTTATAATTTTATATTATCAATCGTTTCTAACAAAGGACGAGCCCTTCAAGCCGGCACCTCCAAGTTCTGTACCCGTAGTAGTAGGAGTAATGTAAGTTTCTTTAAGATATGTTACTGCTCTCAATGACCCTCCCATGAAGTGATATGTTCATCTTGAGCAATCCTTCCATGATGCAATCTATGCTAAATTGGGTGTGTTCCTTATGTCCATATTATGATATGCCTACCCTACCCTTATCTGATTTAAAATGGATTGAATTAATTGACAACATGCCTGTTCAAAAATAATGTTGGTTATCTGTCAATTCTGAGAGTTTTTCTAAAGTACTCCATCATTGCCTCATACCATCTTTTTAATGCTGTTTAGGATTGGATAATGAAATAAAGAGTTGTTAGTACATAATTTTGTTTTTTTCAAAACCCATGGTACTATTTCTTCCAATGTGAATCGTAATTTTTGTACTCATTTAGCCTGGAGTTAAGCATGTTCAAGAAAAGTTATGTTAACCAATTAAAAAAAACTAAATGGTAGTTTTTTAATTTATTAATTATTAAAAAGTTGAATTTAATAAAGATGGAATTCTAAATTGCTTTCTAAAGATGTGTCTGCTTCCTAAGAAAAAATTGATTTCAACTCTCAGATTAAACTGGAAATTTTTTATTTTAATTTATAAATGCTTCACAGTTTTATGTGCATGGTGGAACCTGATGAGTTTCTCAGCTTTCAATTCATTTCAAGTTACAAAAAAAAGAAAATTTGTAATTAGTTTTTCACATAAGTAATTTTAATAACTTGTTGTTTCAGAATTGTTTATTAGTTAACATTTTTCTCATTTTTATATAGGCCAATTACTAATCCTCTTTCAGCCGACATAATGTGAATTGTTTAAATTTTTCAGACTTACACTGGAAGTATTCTTGTGGCTGTGAACCCTTACAGAATGTATGATATGTATGGACTGAATATGGTGAAGAAATACGAAGGGCAGATTTTAGGAACGTTACCACCGTTAGTATTTAATATTTTCACTCATCTAACACTTTTATTTATGTCTAAATATTGTACATTAAATTTTGGAAATAATTCTCTAAAATATGTATCATCATTCAAATGATTGTATCCAGAAATGAATATTCAACAGAATGAAATATAGTAATTTACCATAATAATATATAATAATTTACTGAATGAAATATAATAATTTATTTTTTGTAGGCACCTTTTTGCTATTGGGTCAGCAGCATACTCGGCAATGTCCCGTGGCAATCAAGTAGTAATAATTTCGGGAGAGTCTGGTTCTGGCAAAACTGAATCCACCAAACTTGTCATGCAGTATCTGGCTGCTGTCAACAGAGCACCTTCCAACTTAATAACTGAGCAGGTCTTAGAAGCCTCACCTCTTCTGGAGAGCTTTGGCAATGCCAAAACTGCCAGGAATGACAACTCTTCTAGGTTTGGAAAATTCCTTGAAGTCCACTTCAAAGAGTAAGTCATTAATATTTATTTTTGTTTGTCCTATTTGATATAAAATTCATGATTCATTAAAAATTATTGAAAATGTTAAATTTGAGTATTGATTATTGAAGCAATATTATTTGATTATTTAAATATTAAAATTAGGAAATAGAATGAAATACTTATATAATGATGGTTGTTCACTGGAAATTATATTTACAGTGGTGTGATTCTTGGAGGAAAAGTTACTGAATACCTTCTAGAAAAATCACGTATTGTTACTCAAGCTCCAGAGGAGAGGAACTACCATGTTTTTTATGAACTTTTAGCTGGTCTATCCGAAGAAACAAAATTAAAATATGGTCTTCTTTCTGCTGACAAATATTTCTACCTCAACCAGGTATCTATTATATAGTAGGAATCATTGTTAGGCTAATAAGTGGTTTAGTCTCTCTACATAGTATTCTACTTTGTCATAGGGAGAGAGCTGTGAAATAGATGGGAGGAATGACTCTGATGGCTTTCAGTCATTAATGTCAGCAATGCAAGTACTTGACTTTACATCAGAGGAACAGGATACCATTTTCAGAATACTGGCCTCTGGTATGAATGATATATTTAATTTTAATTTTTTTTTTTTTTTTTTTTTTTTATTATTTGAAAATTAATACAATCTGCCGCATTAATATTAGGGCTACATTAAACATTCACACGTTATATACATACAAATGATAACTAAAATAGAGATAAAAGAAAAAGAGTTGTGAAAAGTAAAATAAGAAAATTAACACACATAGGTTAAAAAAAAAAATAAAAATCATCTTAATTGCCATTGTTTACTGGCCCTAATATAATATTTATATACAGGTAATACTTATGTATATTTTTTTTACAGTGCTTCATTTAGGAAATGTATATTTTCATCGGAAACAGCTCAAGCATGGACAAGAGGGAGTGGAAATCGGCTCTGATGCTGAAATTCGTTGGGCTGGACACTTGCTTCAGATCAGTGTTGATGGAATTAAAATGGCCCTTACAACGAAAACTACTGTATGTTTTGACTAATAAATTAATTTTTTTTAATCAATTGTTTTTATTACAAAAATAATTTTTTTTTCTCCAGGAAGCGAGAAATGAAAGACTGTTAACAGCTTTGACAATAGACCAAGCCTTGGATGCTCGTGATGCGTTCGCAAAAGCTCTGTATAGTTCCCTGTTTGCTTGGCTTGTTGCTAGGACCAATCATATTGTTTATAAAGGCACCAAAAGAACCACTGCTATTTCTATCTTGGATATTTTTGGTTTTGAAGATTTTAAGGCAATTAGTGACTTTCATATGTATGTTTTAAACTTATAATGATTGTTTAAGATAATATTAATTGTTTTGTTTTTGCTTGTTTAATTAATAGGAAAACAGCTTTGAGCAACTATGCATTAACTATGCTAATGAACATTTGCAATGCTATTTCAACAAACATATATTTAAGTTGGAACAGCAGGAATATGCCAAAGAAAAAATACAGTGGCAAAATATTACTTATACGGTAAGGTATAAGTTATATTAAAGTAACTCTTTTTAATTAAATTTATTTATGTCATTTATCAAGTTATAAGATCTTTATCATAAAATTAATTTTTATAATAAATTTATAACTGAGCTTTACTTGCATAGGCTAATAGATATTTTCATTATTAGCACTATTTTTATGTTTTTTTATTCAATTTATTTGATAGTTATTTTGAAGAGATAAGAAATAGTTCTATTAATATATGTTCTTTTTATAGGATAATTTGCCAGTGATTCATCTGTTATCGAAGAAACCAGTTGGAATTTTGCATCTTTTGGATGATGAATCAAATTTTCCTCGTGCCTCAGATGTTTCTTTCCTTGAGAAGTGCCATTACAATCATGCTCTCAATGAGTTATACTCTCGTCCAAGATTGAATGGGCCAGAATTCGGAGTTAAACATTTTGCAGGCAATGTTTGGTATAACGTAGAGGGCTTCTTGGACAAGAATCGGGATACACTAAGGACTGATGTTGTAGATTTGCTTATTTCTAGTTCGCTCCCTGTGAGTTTTATAATTTCTGTTTTCTTTAGTTGTAGCATCAATTATGATAGCACTTTAAAAAAGAACCAATCAATCAATATTTTCAGATGGTGAGCAAAATGTTTGAAGCTGTTCGGAGTTCACAAGAAACGAACAAAACATTAAATAAATCTAATGGCCGGTTTGTTACTATGAAGCCCAGAACACCAACTGTTGCTGCTAGATTTCATGATTCTCTCCAAAATCTTATGGACACGATGTCAAAGTAATTATTATAATATTTTAATATTATTAAAACTCAAGTATTTCAATATCATGCAATTTAATTTTGCTTCATTCGGGATTACAGGTGTAACCCTTGGTTCGTTAGATGTATAAAACCAAACAATGAAAAAGCAGCAATGAAATTTGATATGCCTACAGTTTTGGAACAGCTTCGCTATACTGGTATGCTTGAAACAATACGTATTCGTAAAAATGGATACCCAATCCGAATGAAATTTCTTGAATTTGCTCAGAGGTATAGGTACCTTTTAAAAAAAAGACTTCCAGTTCGATCTACACCAACTAGGTAAACTATATAAAATATAATACTTTAATACCAATATGTTCTTTTACATATTATTGATGAAATAGCAATTATTCATTAATGAAATTTATATTATCCTCCTCTTGCAAATATTCAACTAATTATTAAGTTTATTTAGTTATATTTTATTTCACTGTCTGAAAAATATAATATCCCAGCATTGAGAAATAAATAAATTGAATTTTTTGTAAAGTGTTCCAATGCTAAATTTTATGTTGTACAAAACTTTTTTATTTCTAGCATTTTATGTATTTTTATTTTAATTTAGGGAAATATGTAGCATAATGCTGGTACCATATCAAGGAGAATACCAGCTTGGAGTGTCTAGGGTGTTTATGAGGGAGAGCTTAGAAAGGAAGCTGGAACGGGAAAGAGCGGAAATTCTTAACAAGGCTGCCGTAACAGTGCAATGTGCTATAAGGGGTAATTAATAAAATATGAATTACTAAAAAATATATATTTAGCCTGAGGAATAAGGCTTTGGTTTTCTAAGATTTTAAAATATTTATAAAATTTCATAAATTTCATGATTTCGTTATTTTTATTTAGTATTCCTTATTGTTATTTGTTAAAATACAAATGAATAATGAAAAACTGATTTAGCTTGTGAGCTAGAAAATTGTATTATGTATAAATAATGGCAAATTGTATGTATTTATATAATGAAATTGAACTGTATACTAATGTAAGAGTCCTTAAAAATTCTCAAAGGAAAACTTATAGTATACTGTGTTATAGCAACTCAATATAGTTGGGCAGCATATCTTTTAATAGTGTTTCTCTCTGTCATATCCTAAATACATAGATTCATAGTTCAGGATCGGTGTGGATTCAATTGTTCTACATAGTTTTCAAACATGATGAACACTCCTCATTCTTATCATTTTTTTTATGAGTCTGTTCCTCCTCCTACTCCTCTCCCGGAACTGCTATAGCAGCTATCTCTTCAATTGAGTGTAAAAATGCTGTTACTAAATCATTAGCTTATGGAGCTTGTAATGCCCATCTGTACCTGCCCATCTGTAAGTTTAATAATGAGCTGTTCCTGCAAATTATTCGTATATGCCTCATATCATTGCACGATGTAATTTTTTTTAGAATTTAGAAATATAAATAATAGGATGTACTTGTTTCTATTTAAATAACATATATGTATTTTAATTTCAACAGGGCATTTAGCAAGAAGAAAATATCAAAGTCAAAAGAAAAGTGCAGTTATGATTCAGTCTGCTGTAAGAGGCTGGATATCCAGAAAAAAATATGTAACTATACGAAATGGTATTATTCAAGCACAAGCTATTCACCGAGGAAATCTTCAGCGCAAAAGATATCAACAGCTTAAGGTTTTGTTTTTTTTAATTTACTAATTTATTATCTTATCTTAAAATTTAATTTATTTTATATTTAATTATTATTTTTATATTTATAATTATATATTTTATAATTAATTAATATAAATAGTTTAATTTAATAATAACATAAATAAGACACCTTAAAATAATTTTATGAATGTAAAGTAAGAGCCACTACAAATTACAAACTTTTAATTGGCTGGAAGTATAATTTAACGTTTGGTTAGTAACATTTGGCGCCCCCAGGCAGTGATGTCACCTTCCCCCACACCCCTAAAAAAATTTAATTATTTTCTTAAGCTGTTATATTATGTAATATTTGAATTTTATTTCATTCAATATTTCTCTAATACAGTTGCTTTATTGCTAGGCTCAAATTAAATATTTTAATATGTATTATATTTTTTTTAATTTTTAACAAGTGGCGAATGCCGCTGAAGATCAGCCTGAATCCCAACGGGTCTTCGGCCTGAAGGTTGGAACCCCAGAGCAATTGCCTCAGTTGCCACACTCTAAGGCCAGCAATGGTTAATTTAAAGATATATATGAGTATACACACCAAATGATCCTAAATTGGTTGATAAAAGAGTTTGCTAGGCTTTTTTTTCCTTTTACTCTCTACCTGACCAATTCTGACATAAGTATTCTAAGCAATTCTGGCATATGGGGAAGGTGAGGTTATTATATATATATAGGTATAACCAACCTATCCTACAAGCCAGTGTATTCATATTATTTTGTGCTGTGCCAAAATGGCGAAGTGAATTCAATTGTGTCTAACAGTGCCTAAGTTTTTCTAATTGTACTTTAGGGAAGTGGGAACGAAATTAAAAAAATCATCACTGGATATTTCTTTGTAATGTCATTTAATGCTATTTCCCTTACAGGAGGAACTTAAAAGAAGAGCTGAACTGGCCAAGGAGAGAGCTAAACTGAAGGCACAAAGAGAACAGGAGGAAAAAGAGGAAAAAGAAAGAGTCTCAAGAGCTGTTGCTGGGGTGACCCATTTAGATATTCCAGCGGAGCTGGCATTTGTCTTCAATAAAATTGATGGTTACTATTTTTTATTTTATTTTATTTACAAAATGCATATGTTTTATTTTTCTGACAATCCTCCTTTATTGTGTATCTTTATTTTACTATTTAACTATCCAGAATTTCTTCTGTTGGACTTGATTTTAAGTGCAAACAGTGGACTTACTATTTATTCAATTCATTCCGTTCAGTTACATCCAATTATAATATGAGGTGTAGCTATTAAATAATGAGACTGATGCTGCAAAACATTTTTTCATACATTACTGTATGAATGCAAATGAAATAATTTTTATTATTAGTTTGACATTTAGGAACCAAGTGAATGTGCTTGATCACATGAGTATCGAAAAAAACAAAACATTCATCACTCCTTTGAACTTTGATTTGCTCATTCAAGCGTTTTTAGCTTTCAGTAATGTTGGGCTCTTTCAGTGCGGGGATTAGGGCTTCATTTCTGTAAAAAACACAATTCATCAATCTGCATTAAAATAAACAAGATTTAAGTTCTTTGAAACTGTGAAAGAGAAAGCGGCACACATCCTGAATGAGCTGACAGAAGACTCAGCACTGCTGCAAGCAATGAAAAATTCACATGGAGTGTTTTAGGAATAGAGGAGGGTTGAATATGGAATGTGATAATAAGTAAATACGCGGCAACCTGATAACCTTTTTTTTTTAGTTCTCCCCTTCCTTGCCTTCTAGGCTACGCAAGGTTTTTCCTGGTCTGAGAAAAAAGGCAGAGAAATTATATAGAGTTGACATTCCCACCGGGATCTGGAAATTGAACTCCTAAAGGTTGCCAGGCAATGCGCGGAGCTTTGCACACACGTTAGCCCACTCGGCCACCCTACCTCCTTAAAGACAACATGATAACTGAAGCTAAAGCTGAAAAAATAATTACATGTTCAAATCCCGGTGCCCGGTGGGACTTTTAACTCGGGATAATTCCCCTGGCCCAGTCTAAAAGGCAAGGAAGGGGATAAAAAAAAAAGTCTGGGAGAACCCATTTTGCTTCTAAATAGTAGGAAAATACCTCATAGGGTTACTCCTTTAGGGATTGCCACCCACCATCAGCTCCATTCTTCTATTGTGTTCTCCCAGATAATCTTTTTCCAATTCCTATGGTCCTCCTCGTTCCTCACCCTGGTATTTGCTAGTAGTCTCACTAAGTCTACTCCCTTCATTATAATTTCATACCATTTTCTCGCAGTAGATGACCGAGAAGTATCCCTCCTACTTAGAGGTATCATTGCCTCATGAGATACAGTTCTATGTAAGTTATATTTTTCACAATATAACCGTTATAAAACCTAAAGTTATAAAACCAAAATGATAAAGTTCTATATAAGTTATATTTTGCAAAATATAACCATTACAAAACCTAAAGTTATAAAACTGAAGTGATACAGTTCTATGTAAGTTATATTTTTCAAAATATAATCGTTATAAAACCGTTGTCATTTATTGGCAATGGGAGGAATTAAAAGGAGTGGCAAAATTAAGCTTGCTCTCTCCTGAAAAAATATTCTAGATTTGCTTCCAACAAATACTCTTTCCCTTATCCATCAGACCTATCAAAGTGTGTTGTGGAGAGGTTTCTCTTTATATTAGTACTACTATTCAGCATTACAACCCATTTATTTGCTCATAACGTGATCTATCATAGACTGCCAGTTGGATCTATTCTGTGCTGCTGCCCTCCATCTCCTCTATATATGTTCTATTCAAATAACTGCCTAAAATGATTATCATCTACCCTCTTTTACCATTATATATTTATATTGAATTATCTTAATATAGGTTTATAGCTCTGTATGTCTTTTTCAGACTGGACACCAGTTCACTCTGAAAGACAGCTAGTTAAGGTGGTTGGACATGTTGTTGAACCTGAAGAAAAGTATGCTCTGCCTCAGGATATTGACCAGCATCCATTTTCAAAATTCACAAATATTTATTTTAAGGTTCGTCATTTTATTCTTGAAGCTTATTTCTTCCAGTGGTGGAACTAATAATAATTTAATTATCAACTTTGATTTTCAGTCTCATGTGTGGGGAATGAAACGTGAACCTATCAAAACACCCTTACTTACAAAAGCTTTAGATTCTGACTTTGCTGAATCCTTGGCTATTTTCAAACTCATACTCAGGTTCATGAATGATGATTCTTTGAATGGTAAAAAAGAACAAGCTTTGGCAGATTATATAGCTTATAAGGTGAGAATAGCAACTTTTATATATATATATTTTTTTTACATTTAATTCCATATTTTATTTCCTTAAACTGATCACCTTTTTGAAATATTTTCCCTTTTATTTATTCAAAGGCTGTATAATGTTATCTCTATAATTATGAACCACCTCTTAGTAAAATTCATTTCACCATGATTACTGTCAGTTTCTTATCTTAGGTAGTAGCTCACCAACACAATCGTTCGGAAGAAATGGAATTACATAGTCCTTCTTTATTTGTAGAAAGATCCTTATATTGGATCATGAGATATCAAACAAGTTGAATACTATTCTATTAATTTTGACTAATTAACTGGAATTAGCCAATAAATTCCAAATCTCTAAAACCTTGTAATTTTTCTAAAAACAGCAACTAGAACAGAGATTAGAAATATTAATTTCTACTTCATGAATTATCTATGAAGGTTTAAGTAAAGATTAAAATGAATGAATCAACAAGTGGAATGAAAATAAAGTAACGCTGTTTTCAAAAGTATTATATCGTCAATTTATTGGGAAAAGTCACTAAGTACATTTTAGATGAAATTTTAAAAATATTTTTGTGAATTTCAATCTTATTTATTGATAGAAAAACACACAATAAATATTTTAAAATTATATAAACCCTTTTATATATTAAATATAGTTACAACAAGAGCACAATTTTCTGATTTTACAAAGGGAAAATTCATCAAATTCTCAGTGATTTTGCATATAAATGCCATTTATTTACTCGTTCTATAATTACGAATTTATAATAAATTTCATAATTACTGAAAATAAATCCAGATAGATTGACAAATTGGTAATTTTATCTTTATTTATTTATTTTCTTAAAACTAATTAATTTTATATATCAACTTGGCATTCTATTCTAATAGGTTGTAAAACATTTTATGCTGAGGGGTTCACAGGAGTTCATTTAATTTAATATCATGAAAATTACTTTCAAATGGCAGTAACGCTGAGGGAAGAATGATCTCAGGGTTACTGCCATCATCAACCAACATCTTGCCAACAATGCCATCTCTTCAATTAAGATTTTTGTGCAATAGGATTCTTGCGCTGTCTCCCTTGCTCAATATAACTATTGTTAATTATCATCCTTATGTTGCTATTTTATAGCATGTTTTTTTTTCTGTACATATTCAGATGAACTATTTGTCAATTGGTTCCTTTATATAACTTTCCTTAAGGAATATGTAATGGCATCAAGGCTAAAATAAACATTAGTAATAGTTAATATTATTATTAAGTTCAAGATTGCAAACATCTAGCATGTGCTAATTTTTATAATTATTAACATTATTATACTTTGTGGTTATCCTATTATCCAGGGTCTCTCAAATGAAAAATTAAGAGATGAAATTTTGTGTCAACTTGTAAATCAGACATGGCGGAATGATGTTGCTGCAAATAATGAAAGAGGCTGGTTGTTAATGGCAAATTGTCTGTCAGTTTTTCCTCCATCAGCAACACTTCACAAATTTTTGTTGAAGTATGTATCACTAATTTATTCTTATGTTTATCTATTCTTTTAGTTAGTCCAAAAAAACTCCTTTGCTAATGCATTTATTTTGTCTTGTCAGGTATGTTTCAGATCATGGTCATAATGGCTACAAATACATATGTCAAACAAAACTTCTAGAGTCTCATGGTCAGTGGCCAAGAACTTATACACCTTCTCTGTTAGAATGGAGGGCCAACAGAAAAAGAGTCAATATGGCATTACAGCTGCATTTCTCTGATGGTTTGTTAATTTATTTTTTAAATATATGATTTATGAGACTTCTAATGTTCCCAAAGTTTCTGAATTATTTTAAATTGCTTTGTAAGCAATTTTCTTTGTAAGATACCTCAGATACCAATCTATTGTAATTAATTTAAAACTTGAAACACTTTCCTCATTCCTGCTTTTCCTGTCATAGTTTGGAATATTTGTCTATCTATTGAAAATTAATTTATAATATAGCAGATAATCTGGACAGTTCAACAACATATTGACGTGTCCATATTTCCTAATTTTTTATATTTTCATAGTAACTAGTACTATGGATAGTGAGACCACTGACTTCTGATGGAACTGACACATTCAGCTCTGGAACACCCGATTTCTATCTTTTCACTAGTGAATTAATAAGAAATCAGAGTTCTACTGATGAGTTACTTTTAGGTTTATCCAAGTCTAAGGTTGTGCATTTTTTGCCCACCCGAGTCTTCCACAGTAATTGCTGGTCTTACCTGATTGGCCACTGGTGGTTGTATTTTTTGCACCACTTCACCTATGAAATGGCAGATGGTACCTCTAAAAAACAGCTTACAATATATTGTATATTGATTTTATATAATATGTAGTTTCATCATAAGTTTGATTTATTATGGTCGGGACCAATTAAATATTATAGGATAATTGTTTTATACTGGTTACTCTGATTAACGGAAACTTCTTAAGGCAAAATATATTTTAACGTTCGTGAATAGCATTTATAATATCTTATCTGCATGGGAATCAATCTTCCCTTGAAGTTTTGAAAAACTGCTGTCTATTGAAGAATGTGATTTTAAAATAATAAATCAACAAAATAAAGTGAAGAACAAGACATTGCCAGGTTAGCTGAATTGTTGAGAACTGTTGTTCCCTGAAGGGGAACCGTTGACAGGAAGTACTTTATGGATGGACTGTGGTGTTGATGATTATGGCTTTGAGCAATTTACTGTTCAGTAAATTGCCTGCTAAATTAGAACTAAAAATGATAATTAACTTGATTCCAAAATTGAAAAATGATTAAAACGATTCCACTGCAGAGTGATCAATATGTCATCACAATATGCATTGCAAGATGATGATATGTGACTGACTGACAAACTTGTTTCGTACAAAATTCAATTTCTTATTAGAAGAAAGTGCTTTGCAACCAAACAAGTAACATTATTTTCGAAAAACATTAATTATTTATTACTTATTGTAAATTAATTTTTCTTATTTTAGAATTAATTACATATTCATTTTGAAATACTTAAGATGTTTTTTTTGGTTTCAAACTTTTTTTTATGTAGGTTATCTGAGAATTTTAGTCATGGTACTCAATTTCATGGATAATTGGGAGTTGACTCTTTCGGATCACATTTAAGAACCTTTTCCAGTTTTATACTTTTTATAATTAGTGATCTCAAAATGTTACAGCTTTATTCTATGAATTAATTATAAAGAATAATTATTTTTTAAAAATTAACTACTTCCATCCTATTTTGCTTTAATTTTTTCCAATATTTTTATTTCTTCTTTTACAGGAGAGTCAGTAATGACTGCTGTTGATTCTTGGACAAGATGTGAATCATTATGTAGGCAGGCTCTTGCCGAAAGGTCCATTTCAGAAAATTCAGGATGGACAATTTCTGTTGATGATTCGGAATGCTCTGGTTTAGATTATATTTTTGATGCAATTACAGTTATGGAGTTACCTCCAGCTTTTCCAACTGTCAAAAGCATGCCAACTATAACATCAAAGGTATATTATATTCTTATAATTTTTTTATAATTTAAAACTGAATAATTGTATTCATTGTCATCATGTTTAATATTGGTGAAGTTAAGGACTAATCATTATTTAATTATTCATTGCTATTGTTAGGAAACATTATCTGTCATTATTCATCTAATTTCTACTTTAGTTTTATTGAATAATAATGTGATTTAGGAAGCTGAACCACTGCCTGCTGCTAGGAGACCATCAGTACCACCTCCCCAACCCCCAAGTGTACCTGTAAGTGCTATATAGCTAACTTAAAACTATAATGAAAATAAAATTAATAATCAATATTTAAACATATTTTTGTTACTTTTATTTATCTTTCATTATACATCAATTCTAGGTTGTACCAAAAGTACGTTCTGTCTCACGAGATCACACTACTGAGTCTGGACTTTCAAGAAAATCAGCCTTAAATGATAGATACTTTGATAAGCCTGGACGTTCTCGATCTTTAGACAATCTGTTATCTCCTGTGAGTATGGTTCAAACCAAACATGTAATCAAGATTTTTTTTTTATATTTTATGATTAGTATATTAACTAATGTATGTTCTTTAAATTTATTTTGGACTGTAAATATGTAAATAATTTTTCTGGGAAAAATGTTATTAATGAAATGCTCAATCAATGTTTTTTTGTTTGTGTTTTTTTTTCTTCTTTGTGAAATAACTAATATATAGATGTGATTTGCATTTTTATTTTAATAATTTTCTGTGTTTTAATCATAAAATAACAAATAACTAATATTTGACACATCTTTCTCTTTATAGCTTCTTCTTTGTCTAAATCTAGTTTTGCCATAAATAGTGTTAAGATTCTTCATTTTATTTTTAATTTATTTTATTGTGAATAGGTAATAATATTGAATAAAGATGTTTATAATAATATACATATATAGTATAATTAATATACATGCATAACATAATTAACAGAGTATTGATACACATTTGTTGTTTATAAATGTGTAAAAGTGAATATTAAAGGTTCATGAAATCAAAACAGGACCTGTCCTAGTGAGCAGTGATATCATTGTACGGCTCGCTGCGGCAAAAGATTGTGTTCTTTGTGCATAATTCATAATTACATATTATGGCCATAATATGCATTAATTATACTACATATCATAGTGTGACTGCAAAAAAATAGTAATACAGTTAGATCACTAGTCAGATCATATTCTGTTATATCACATTTCCAAATCAAAGGTCGTGTTCTGTGTTCCATGATTTTTCTTAGTTTTGGGTAAAATAGTATCTATGATCCTTTTAGGTTTATGGCCATAAATTGTTGAAAAGTTTAAAATTTAATTCTAGTTAGAGAGGTAAAAATTACTTTAGGGGTATAGGAAAAAAAAACAAGCTATCTTGCATATACGAGAATACTTTTGGCCTCCACACAGGCCATGTAGATTAGAATTTTCATTTAACTTCTTTAATTCATGGATAAATGAATGTTCTAGTTTCTCTATTTAAAAAAAAAAAAAAAAAAATTGGCTATTATCAAATGTTCACTATAAAAATAAACCATATTCTAGCATTTAAAATAGTTAAAAAATATGATTCTAATCAAAGATTATTATTGAACATGAGATAAGTTCTGTTCAAGAGAGGTTCTTTAGTGTGCCATGCCATGCCTCCGCATTGACCTAGAGGAGAATATCTTAAGACTTTATTCTTCCATAAGTTTCCTACTGATATTTATTTATTAATACACAGTGGATTCAATATTAATTTAGTTCTAGTAACTTTGGCAGTATGTTGATAGTATTTATGGCATTACTGGAAGTTTCCTTTCTGTCCTTAAAAATGACTGGACTATGCTCTTTGGTGAAATGAAAACTGGTGTAAAATACTTTTTTTTATTTTAATAGCAGTTTCTGATAGTCAGAAAAAGTTGCCTTTAGGATTAATAAGAAGCCTAAATAATATTTATTTACATTTTAGAGTTTAGATTTGAAGTTTATAGTTGCCTAAAAGTCCTTAAACAATACGTATTTCCTTAAAAATGCAATATTATGTAGTATAAAAAAATAAATTATTCTTTAAAAAATAGAATGAAATATATATTTTTTTTATCTACATATTTAGTAATTTACCATATTAATTTAAATTATACTGCTTTTTCTTTTCTTTTTTTTTTTCAAGAAAGGTAATATATAATATATAATTTATTTATCTTCTTATTGTTGCCGTTTCGGGCTTCAAGCTCATGTTCATGGACAATTTTATCTGGGTAATGTTATCCATTATTTATTAACAAAAACTTTTTCAACATTCATCTCTTTTGTCATTTTAATCCATGAGTATCATTTTGTCATAATTTTAAAATCTTTATTATATAGAAATACATTTTTTATTTGATAAAAATTTCTCTATTTTCTCGTTGTCACATTACTTTTTGTTATCTGGGAACGGGATTTTCCAAGTACCAATAGCCAACTTTTGTGCACTATTACATACAGATTTGAGTTATAAAGTTATTTTTTCATGCTATTTTAGAGTGTAGAGAAAGTTTTCAAGTAAGACTTCTAAAATGGCCTTAAGCCTCATGAATACTCATTTTATAACAAATTTCTGGTATCATGATATTTCCCATCATCATTAATATTGTTTTTAGCATAACATCATTTATTGGCTCTCAAGTTTTCCATGACTTAGAAACATTATCTTTTTCTTTTGTAAAAGATTTTTTAGTTTAAACTTTCAATTTTCGACTAAAATATTTAAAAAGTGATAATGTTTCTTCTGTTCTTGAAATTTTCGTTGTTTCACTTTAAGGCCCCTAATAGAAGCCATTGTGTCCTCTTCCGAACAATAATATATTTTTCACATTTAAAGAGGTTTTAGATATGTTTAAATTAAGGTTAAATATCACTTAAGATATGTTTTAAGTTTCAGTCTATTAACTGCTAGTTGAGCATTATCGTTGAAAAAATATACCCCTTGTGAAAGAAAATACATAATAGTTAAAGTTGTTCAAGATTGGTAGTAGTTTATTTAATGACCAGTCTTTGTTGCATTTTGGATTGAAAATTATTTTTTTTCATTTTAATTGAAAACATATTTCATAGAATACCAGTTTTATCTCAAACAAGCTCAGCATTTGTCCAGTTCAGGGTTTCTGTTGTGAAAAATTGAACTGAAGTCTTCGGTTATATTGCTTGATATTTTTGTAAGTAATAAGGAGGTATGGCCGGGTGTGTAGGTTCATGAGAGTTTGATATATGAAGACCTGATGAGTGTACGGGAGGAAAACATACATGATGATGAAGAGGAGCTGGACACAGAGGAGGATGAGTTGGAGGATGAGGAGGATGATGAAGATCTGGTAGATCTAATAGAAGAGGAAGGTGAAGAACATCCGGAACTTCACCTTCAACAGGTATTTTAAGAACGGAAAGGCAGCAGATTTTTGTAGTAGGGTGTTAGATAGGAGGCAATATGAGACTCATATGTGGATATTCGGTAACTTTAATATGGACTTATGGGGCTAAAATTTGAGCTTAAAATCAAAATATTTTTATACTAGGCAACTATGCTCCCTAACCTTTAACATTTTGGTGAGGAATAATAACTCCTAATCCTAATTAACAGATCTTGTTAATGATTTACTAATATATTTTATAATAAATAACATTTTAAGAATAATTAATATAATGCTTTAATGTTGAAGGATACGAGTCAAATATGCTATGAATTATTTATTACAAGGTTCAGCTGGCAACTCTAATTCATATTAATAGCTAGAGTTTTATTTTTCTTTGTCTTAGTTTTTTTTTAAATAACTATTTTTTTCACAATTTATTTTGGAGGAAGATTAAAAACAAATGGTATCACCACTTTTTTTTTTTTAAAGTTATCTTGTTGTATTACCTAGCTTTTTTCGTTTCATAAATTTTATTTGTAAATGAATGGATCTGGAATACAATTTATTTATTTCTACATTATTTCAAGTGCTTACTCCAAGTGCATTGAAGAAATTCTATCTTTTTTATCTTACTATTTTTATTGTTTATTGATAATATTAAAAGTAAATAAAATGTATTGCTGTTTTGATTTATTTATTTCTAAATAAATATATAATTGTATCCATTTATGTTCTTATGTTTTCATTTCTGAGAACCTTTTTATTTGAATTGTCATAATGTTTGAAACATTTTGATCTCTAATTAATGAAAATTAAGAATTCAATGAGATTTGTCTCCACAATCCTTCTACTATAAGGTATATTAACAAAATGTTTGCATGTGGTACTTTAACAAATGAGAGGCAGAAATCTTATATTCATTAAGACATTTTGAGAAGATATTGGAGTGTATTGTTAGTATATATTCGTAATTTAAAAAGATTATGTATGATTTATTGTTTTAACATTACAGGTAGTTATTAATAAGCCGACATCTAAGCTAGACACCTTAGGTTTGAGCCATTCTCGGCTTAATGACCGATATCATTCAATGGAAAGAATAGAAGAAAGAGACCCTGTAAATCTTGACCCGATGGAACAAATGGATGCAATTGAAGACAATGATAAGGCTGAAGAGGATAACATGGAATCAGTCAGTCAGCGTGGTGGTGATAGAAAATATAGTTTGACAGGGTAAGTGGCATTTGTGATGAGTTAAATCTAAAGATTCAATTTCTCTCAGGTGTGGCATAAAAACAGATTGTCAAAAGTTAAAAAAATGTCTTATTCTTTTTGGATTTAATTACAACTTATTTAGCTAATCGTGTAGCAAGGATTAAAATGACTGTAATATTAATTCATTTATAATTTCTTGTACTGTTTCTTTCATTTGATTTCAACCTACAATAGTAAACAATTATACATTTATTTTATTTTATAAATGTTTCAAAAATACAATAATAAATGTAGTAAATGAACATAATTTTTTGCAATAATTTAAAATTGTTGTCAATTTATATAAATGTTCTCTTTCTTATTTTGTGTGCATAGATAAGAGCCTGGCTATAGTGAAATATTTGTTTTATACCCTATCAATCAAGAATCCACTCTGGTCCCTGAGGTATTCCTAGCCAACTTAATCTGACTACCTGATTCTTTAGATATGTTGAGGGAAAACTTGGTAGTTCAGAATGGATTCTGACCTCATGATCTCGCTGTATAACCATTGGTCCTGAAACAGTGTTTCCTAATTAAGCTAAGAAAAAAGTTAATCTAAGACCCTTCCTGTGTTTTTTGGTGTAAATTTATGCACCAAAAGATACCAAATTTACAAAATATTTTATAAGTAAATGTTCTGAAATATATGTGTATTGATATTGAAGAGTTTTATTCTATTTATTTATTTTTTCATTTAAGTAAATTATTCTGTACCATTACAACCCACAAAGGGTCTTGGATTCAGCATTTTTTATAGAATTACTGTTTTTTGGCCAATGGTTGTACAAGGAGTGATTTGGTCGAAATCATGCTCAACCTCCAGGTTTCTCCCTTATTTATTTATGCTGATGTAACAGAATATATAATTACTTTCTACTACCGGATTCAGACCTGGGGGCCAGGAGAATATGAGCGTAATGGTTTACTCACTGGGCTACACCACACTCCAGGTTAATTATCATTATTATTTAATTCCAGGGCCTCATCTGATGTTTTGGTGTCTGATAATCCATTGGAATTTGAATTCCCAGAACTTGCCTCAAGGAGTGAAGATGATAAAGGAAGCTATATTAGAGGCCATCCTAGGTATCTCCCATATAATATTTGAAATTATTTTTTATTGGAATACAAATTCAAAAGCTAATAATTTATTATAATAATTGTTTCTATAGATTCATTAAATCCCAGTACACAGGAAAAAGAGCAGCTCCAGGATCACATTCAAGTAGAGCACATATTGAAACACGATTTAGTGATAAATCTGAATTCAAAAGTTCTGCTATGTCTGATACAAGTGAAGCTCCTTCTCTAGGTATGTGTTTGTTTTGTTTGTTGTAAATTACATAGATTCATTTAAAAAAAAAATTATTTTGGGACCTGGTTTGTTATGAATAATAAACAAGTACATACAACAGAAAAAAATATTGGTCTCAAAACCATATTGATAAAAGCTATCAGTAAATACATTATCATAAATAAAAATGTACAAAGAACAGTAATGTTACGATATAAATAAAAATCTTAGACAGCCTTGAGGTACCAAAGAAAAATCTTAATAACCGGTTCATAATTGGCATGATAATTATCTGGGTCTTTGATTTATTTATAGCCTTGCATTATTGGTTGTATCTATCCATAAAGCTAATCATTATCTATAGATACTATCTTGGTACTCCTCCAAGTTGTTGGTATACTTCCAATAAGTCTAATATATTGTGTTTGTGGTATAGAAAATTAGAGTCAGGAAACTGAATCATTATTTTGTTTCCTGTTAGCCAAGTTATCCTATAAAAATAAAACATGAAATATTTTTCAAAACTCTGAAATTACATATTAAGACTAAGTCCATTAATTTTTATCACAGCTTCACACGTAAGAAGAGTAAGGGTACCTTCCCAAGCTAGTGATGTGGACCAATTTCTTGATGATCTTTTTAATCCAGTTCTAGACGGATTATCAGATGCAAGATCTATTGCACCATCTACAAAAGGAGGGACAATCAGGTAATGCTTATTTTAAGTTGGTTTATTTTCTATTTTTATTTTTATTTAATCATTTGAATAATTAATTTTGTGTTATTATAAGCATTGCAAACATGTAATTTTTTGTTATATAGATCTCAAGATGACTTTCTTAATGATATTTATGATCCACTATTTAAAGACACTCAGATGGATTCATCAAAGCTTTCTCAATCAATTAAAGGAGGAGGAAAAGGTGTTGGAGGTGTGGGGACCCAGCAGGTTAGTCAATGCAATATTTAAATTCATTGTAAATACATTATACACATATTAAATTTTAGTAAGGTTATTGATAACCTTCCAATTTCATATTTTTATTCTCATAGCAAAAATTACATACAGGTAAATTGTCTATTTGCTAGTCAAAAATGATGATTATCACACAGTGTTATCAAATTCATATCCTTCATATCCCAACTAGAATTTTCATCATTATTTCAAAATTATATGCTTAAATTTTATTACTGTACTATTCTGTTTTTATTTTCTATATCATTATTAATTATGATTAAATCTCTTGGCCAATTATTGTGGTTTATTCTCTTTCATGATTTAAATTAGACTTTACTTATCTTTAGGTTATTTTATTTTTTATGTTGTTTGATTATGATTTAGTTATTATTTTACTTTTGTTAATTTTATGTTTTCTGTATATATGGTGTGAATCTGTTTATATCTCACTATAAGTATTATCAATGTGACAGATTATTATATTTCTAAATAAATAAAATAGAAAATAAATTAGACTATCCCCAACTAGTCATTCTAGTTCATTAGATCAATTGAAAGTATGAAGAGGAAAGAGTTTTTTCATTTTCACTAACTCCTTTAATTTCTCTTTGGCTATATTCTTGTGGGTGTGCTATAGTTATTTTGCACATAGTTTTTATTTTAAAAAGGAACAATAAAATTATTATCTGAACTCTACTATTTACTTATCACTACTAATTCTTTATTATTATTTTTTTTTTTTAATTTGACCTCTAGAATACTACACCAAGTCAAACTCCAAATGGCTTCAATCTTAATCCCATGGTTGGTTCGCCTCCTCCAGTTCTTCCAGGGATGGCACCTCTTATAATGTCACCACTTCCAGTTTTCAGTCCTACTGGTCCACAAAGTAATTCATTATTTATGTCTTTAATAAAAATATTTCATAGTCTTACTAGCTGTGTTATGTTACCTTTTATGATTTATATATTAGCTATTTGACATTAACATTATTTATGCATTATTTTTATGATTGTATCTTAGCTAATGGAGGACCTAATACTTCTTTCCCTGGAGGCTTTTCTCTAGATGCTGCTTCAATGAGTAGTTTCATGCCAGTCCCTATATATAACATGCAAGGTAAAGATATTTTTTCTAAAATTTTGAATATTTTTCTAAATTGTACATTTCATGAAATAATTTCAAGTAATGTAGATTAACATATTATAACAAAGAATTAATTAATTTTATATATCATACTAGGTTTAAGCCTACCATCTCAAGGAAACACCAATGACCCAAATGTTTTGGCTTATCAAGCTAATTTACAGAGAGCATTTTTACAGTCTGCAATGGCACAGAATATACAAATTCAACAACAACTTTTAGCCCAGAATCAAGCTCTTCAGCAGTTACTTCAACAACAACAACAAACACCAACTGTTAGTCTTTTTTTATTTTATGAAGATTTTTATTTTTTAATGAATTTAAATAGGTAGTAAAAATTAAAATGTATTATATGTTGAAACAATATTATTATAAACTTAAAATTAAAACAATTAGATAAGAAAATATATGTAATCTATTTTTACATTGTATTTCCAATGACTACAATCCCCAACCAACAATTATCCAGTATGACTCTTATTGTTTTTAATAAATAAATACATGCCTTTTTATGATTTAAGTAAACTACCTTTTGTAGTTTTTATTACCATTAATAAATTATTAGTTTTATTTTTGTTGTTTTAATTTTTTTTTTTTTTTTTTTTTTTTTTTATAAATGATCAATATATATTTTTTAAAATGTTTTTGAATGAATCCAGACTTTAAACTTATACTTAATTTATTTTAGCAAAATGGTAGCGTTGAAACCTCTGCCCAGTGGTCAGGATCTCCTCCAAAATCAAGATCCACGCCACTTACTACAAAGGCACAGGTAATTTACTTAGTTATATCTATTAGTATTTAGCCAACAGTAGCTGTAATTTATTTTTGGTCTATAAAAGCAAACCAAAATATTTTGAAGCAGTAAGGATTGATTTTTTGTAATCAAAGTAAAATAAATTTTAAAATTCAGCCTTCATTTTTATAAATTTTCTGTGAAGTTAACTTTCTGTCCTGATATGTTAGTACCTTGGATATAATCCTTCATCCATAGCACAGTTATTTGAATGTTCAAGAAACCGTGAACTGCCGGTTGTTGCTGATTGCTTTCCACACCTGGTAGTTTTATAATAATTTCTATCTGATTAAACTGCTACTTCATTTTCATATATGTATAAATTTGTATATCATTAATTATTGTAAATTGTTAGGGAAAAAAGAACTGTTTACAAACTTATATAAGCAACTGTTATTTTGAATATTGAAACAAGCAATAATATTGCTGTTTCTAGACATACTTTTATCTTTTAAATTTACAATTTTCATACTTTGAAAATTACATTAAATAAAATCATTTTTGGAATTGTTTAGAAATCTCTTAATTTCTAGTTTTCTATTTAAATGTAATATTATCTCTTAAATTGCATTCTGAATACTAGAAAACAAATTTTTATGAATGGATAGAATTTTTAATATTAATAAATTAATATATTTATTATACAGTAATATATTCACTATCCCTTCCTTTATATAGATATACATATATATATATATTATATATATATATATATATATAAAGGGAGGAATAGTGAATATATTACTGTGTAATAAACATATTAATTTATTAATATTAAAAATTCTTTGAACCATTTAATATGGGAGGTCATAGAATTGTGAAGGTCAATTATGCGTACCCTGATTTTAACATGCTTGTTTAGGTTCATCGATCCAGCTCACCGGCCCAGCAGCAAGCATTTACTACTGTACTATCAGAACTGAAAACCAGGAAGCCATCACAGGAAACACCGAACAAGGTAACTATCTCCCTCACATGCCTCAGTGATTTAGGAGCTCAATGACTTGAATGGTTGTATGAGTATTAATGCTTTGCATGTCGGGAGCTTTGCTCTATACTGTACTGTAATTTAAGGTCTGTGACAAGTTTGGAAGTATGAGGTTCATGGGTTGGAGGAAGAAATTGGTTGTCAATGTAAGTTAATGTTAATATGACCTATATATTTGTCTTATGTAATAACATTATTTTTATTTAATTACCAGAAATATCATATCTTTATATCCTGGATGTTTAATTGCTATTGAGTTAAACTACAGACTGCAGATGACTCAATTCATAACTACTAATTTATTCATAACTACTAATTCATAACTCAATTCATAATATTACTTTAACTCTCTTTTAATTTAAACAAGAGTGAAATGTGAAAAGTGTAATAGGAAAATCAATGTGGATTCTTGAGATAATAGCAAAAGATCCAAAAGATATCTCTCTTTTGATCTTTTATGACAGTACTGCCTGTTTAACCATTAAGTAGCTAAAGTAATTTAGTTTGTTCTACTAAGCATATTTTATTTTTTAACAGACTAAAAAAAATTATGTTTAGGCAAAAAATATTTTATCTTCAAATTTTAGATAGAAAAAAATTAATTAAAAAATTAGAGAAGGCCTGATTAGATTTGCTCCTTTATATTCATTCCACTTCACCTTATACCTCAATTTTATTTTATAATTAATTTATTTAATAGCACTTTAATTTAAAACAGCATGAACCTCAAACAATAATAAGATCACCATTAAAAATTTAAATGATAGTATTATATTAAATTTTACTGTTCCTTAAAACATTGTTTTTTATTTCAGACAGTTTATTTTAAGCATTAGAATGTTTGCAATGGTGTCAATCTATATCATTTCATCCAGTGCATGAAACTGATAATCTTAATTATGCAAAGTTTTATATCTCAAATACTTTTCAAAGATGTATTAATAACTATGGTTTTGCATTAACAACAACTGATAGTTAATGAGATAGTTTAATTAAAAATTTCATATTTTTAGCAATTTTCATTATATTGCAATGATTTTTTCTCCAACAGTTTCACAGCCTACAGAATTAGTCAAAAATTCATTTATCTACATATTTATTAAGTAGTACAGTCATTATCAGCTCAAACTAGGGATGCATAAATTTTAAGATTAAATTTAAAGTAAAATACAGTTATGACTTTAGACCATGGTTTTCATTTCTATTTTGAACTGGATAATTTGGAGTGGAATGATATTACTGATTATAAATAAGCGTAATCTTTTTCTATTAATAATGTCTACTAATATTTTCATTTATAATGAATAATGGGTGATAAATATTCAGGATGCAGTCATTATAAAGTTTTTATTAGTGCTGACGTTTCAACCCAAACATGTGGGTAATCATCAAAGCCTGTTTTGAGCAACAGTTTGAGTGCTCGAAACACGCCCGTAATCACTTCAAAAAACTTTGGGAGTAATACAAACTTTATGATGACTGCATCCTGAATATTTATCACCCATGATATGTAGAACAGTCGACTAATTTCCTCCAATATAATGAATAATGTGAACTATTAAGATATACACTTATTGAACACAGATCTTAGCACTTTATAGTATTGATTTCTGGACTTTATTTCATTGCAGAGCATACCTCCTCCTCCTCCTCTGCCACCACCCCCAGAACCAGGAGATCCCAGTGAAGCTAGGCCATTTATGGACCCATATGGAAGAGCGAAAACAGTTAGAATAGGAAAATGGAGATGGCCTCCTCCCAAAGACTCTGATGCAGCAGATCCCTCAAGCTTTCTGCAATTTAAGATGAAGCAAAGAAGAAAACATTCTCAGGTGATTAACTGTTATAATTAATATTTATTGCAGTTTATTTGTGATTTTTTATTTAGTTATTGATATTTTTATCTTGGCACTATATTATGTGTACTCCTGCCTCTCTTCATAAAATATAACTGAATCCACTTTCTTTTTTCTTGTTATTTTATCTCTTAGATTTTGAGTTACACAGTATGCCATATAATATGATATTCAGTTCTTTCAGCCTTATGTGAAAATAATCATCACTATTACCTATCAGTGACGTTATTACATTTCCTTACACATATGTGAAAGAAAAGTAATAGCGATTAATATATACTAATCAGAAAATATTAGTATACATGAAAAATTTTGAATCCAAGTTTTCATTAGTAGTACACATTTTAAAGTTCCCGACTCCAAATAGCCAAGTTTTGCTACATGGAAAAACCTAGCTCAAAAACCAAAAGTCGTACAAAACTGCAGTTACATATTTTAGGTAGGTATATGCCAGGGGATGCTACAGTAACTCTTTTACCAAAATGGACCTACCGGTATTGGCACTTATTATATTTAAATTTACACATGTTCTCGATTTTTTCAAAAACAGCTACAACTATTTTGTTTAAACTCATTATATCATTGTAAAATCAATTAATCTTTAATATCAGGCAGAAATTACCTTATTGAAAGAGTTTGTTAGGGCTTAAGTGCAGAATTTCTTCCTTTAAAGTCTTTTTTAATTTGTTTATTTAAAATAATTAACCATCGGATATGGATTAAAACTGTCAATCTTTTTAATCCTCCATTTATTTATTGTTTGTTTACAACTCTCTTGCATAGGAGTATCCCTATGTATAGAGCACATATTAGAACATGATTAGCCTACCACACCAGACTTCATACTTTTACTTTTATATATGAATGATAAAAAAAAAACCATATAAAATATATTTGAACAGTTTCATTAATTATTAGTCTCTTACCGGTTTGAATTTTTTTTTTTTCAGACTAATTACAATTATGTTAATATTAACTGTATCAAATATAAATAATAAAATTTCATTAATATTAAATAAAGACAACAATATCAAAAGATCAACTAAGATATCTAGACTAGCCATTATGCATCTTTCTTTCATATTTCACTTCTTATCTCCCCGATCATGTAAATTCATAGTATGTTTTTGTCGAAGAGTTCATTCTTAAGAGTAAACAAGTCATCTATTGTAATGTAAATTATGGTTTCTTAATTCAGATGATCACTTGGTGACAGATTGCTAATCTGTACGTTTCTTTTGCTGGTAACTCGGTAAATCAAATAGCACTTATATATTTATAATATTAAGCCATATATTTTGCATTATTTATTACTTTAAAATTTTTACTTTGGAAGAATTGAAAAAAAAAATAAAATTAAAAAGGTTTTATGTTTGATTATTTATTGTTTATTTATTTTTTAAAATAATCATTACTTTTAATAATAAAACTCCATGTTTGATCTATCAGCCGTACTTTATTTTTTCATTCAACAATAATTTAGCTCTTTTGGTGATTTCCAAAGGAAGGAAGAAAGAATCTTGTAGGTAAATTAGCTCAAATGATCTTAATTTTTAAAATGACTTTTTTTTTCTTGAAATTTTAATGAATGGAAAAATAAAGTAAGATATGGAGTTTAATTATTAAAAATAATATGAGTCTTATCCTACAATATTAAAATATAATATTAATCTTTATTTTAATAATCTGTTTTGTTGTAATTGTAAGGTATATTTTTCTTTACTTGATAATGTCCATGAAACTTAATTAAATCTCTTCATAACAAACATACAATTATTTCTTCATCAATTGTTATCCACTTCAATTCAAAATTGTTCAAGATTTCACAGAGTAATAACCATTTTTACTGTGTGAATCTTATTGTTCTTTAATAATGAGTTCTTCATTTTTTCTTTCATAATCTCTGATATATTTTTTAGTTTATTACCAATATAAGATAAGCATAATGTTCTGATATGTTTTCTATGCATATGACTCCTCCTATGTAAGAGAGTTGTAAAATATCAAATTCAATAATCTGGTGTGGTGCACACATAATGCAACATTCACATATCTCCCTACTTTGGATGGAAATAGGTATTTTTATGTGTAGGTAAGTGAATGTAAAAAGTACAAAAGTTAATAATAATACTTTATTTATTCTGGGACGAGTTCCTTTAGAATAACACAGAAAGTTAGTGTAATATATTCATTTACTGTTAATGTTTATGTGTTTTTCCCATCCATCTAATCTGTCAAATGCATTTTTTGTCACTGTCCATTTCCTTTCAAAACTGTGTTATATTTTGATGATTTATTTAATTATAAAGGTGCTGTAAAAATGTATAAAATGTCACTTCTAGTAAGTTGATTTTGGTGAAAATGTTAACATAAATAAGTAATTTCAATTTCTTAAAACTTTTTTTTTTTTTTTTTAGTTTGATTGTTTTTATACAGACACAAACACCACAGATCATGAAAATGTGTATTTATATTGAAAACATGGATCGGAAAACTATAAGTAATGTAATATATGTAGACAATTGAATATAAAAAGGTTGAGACTCATTACAAATATTTAAAAAATGTCAAATATTTCTAATTAAGATAGGATATATTGATTTCAAAAGAACATGTGGAAAATTGAGTGATTTAGAATCTTTATATTATAGTCTAAACTCTAAATATTGAACTTAAAGTTTCTTTTAAAACCAAATAAATATGCATACTTTTGACGAAACTTAAAAGTTTAAAGAATTTAATTTTCATAATTTTAATATTTTTATTATTCTAAATTAATTAGTTACTACATATTATCAAGAGAGGTGAAAATATTATCTGTATTTGTTTATATTTATATCACAGCTCTTGTTCAGAATGCTTTCCTTGTTTCTTTTCTGAATAGGGATATTCACTACATACATTGTCTCAACGCTTTTATCAGATAAGTCAAATATAGATTATTAAGGATAATTAAATATAGTTGTTAGAGCATGACAATCTTGCTTAAGTCAGGAAGCATGTATTGAAGAAATCATTTCTTTTGAAATGTTTCTGAGAGTCATTTGTAATTAAACTCGCTGCAAGTTTGTCATTGCAAATTTATCAAGATCAGTTGCATTACAGATGTTTTCTACTTATAATGAACTTTTAAGAATCTCACAACATATAATAAGTTATGTATCATCAGGTTGGAATTATTTAAATAATGATTATTATTATCTTATGTGATTAATTTTGAATTTAATTAATTTTGTTTTGTTGTAATTTTATTAAGTTTAAGGTGAAAACTCTTTTTAAATATTGAAATAATTTTATTCTTTTAAAGAATAGATTTGTTATCATTTAATATATTTCCAGAAATTTCATATTGGACAGTTAGGATATTATTGACCATAAATTAATTAGAGTTTTAATGGTTTATATAGTCTAAATCAGGGCTCTCCAAAATTTTTGATCCACTGGCCACATTAGAATCTCGACTAAATCTGTGGGCAGCATTGAGACTTCTACCGAAGTTTGGCTAGTGATGAAAAATTAATAATCTTGTTTTATAAATATTTAAGCGTTCTAAGAAGGGGAAAAAAAACATGCAATAAATGTTGTAGTAACTTTGTATGTGAGTAATTTGCTAAATTTCATATTTTTAAATAATTTTTCAAATTTGACAATCTTGTCAAAGAAACTTTCGCTGACCGGATTGAAGATGCTTGTGGACTGGATCTGGCCCACAGGCCATAGTTTGTAGTCCCCTGATCAAAATGAATAAACATTTTTATCCCTTCTTAGTTTGATTTAGTTTTGAAGTTTAACTTTTTGTAGTAGGTTTATTTGGCGAAGTTAACTTCCTCTTAAAATATCTTTTATTATTTTAGTATATCTTTTATCTACGGTTTATGTTGACGTTTCAAGGAATTATTTCCCACCATGAGAACATTTTTTCTATGGATTTCAATTATTCATTCATCTTGTTTTAAAACAAGATAATTAAAATAATTTATGTTCCTTCATAAATTTTACTTAATATTAATTTACTTTGGTTAAGTTAATATTTAATCTTTTTATTATTATTCTTGAGGCTCCTTTTGTCATTTAATAAAATATTAGTTATTACATTCTTTTTTTTGTTTTGTTTCTTAATTTTTTATTTATTTAAGAACTAATCTAACAATTAGAATCTACAATATGATTTATTTTAACTTTTTGTTTCCTCCTCCATCTCCCATCTCTTTATTAACTATCATTCAGCTAATTTTCTTTGTTAAACACCCATATTTATTATGTTTTGCAGCGAGTTGTTGAAACGATTACTGTAAGCTTTATTAATTTTTATATATAGATTCGATTCTTTTTTTATTCTCCTGGAGGGGTTTGCAACATTATCAATTAAAAATAATTTTTTTTAAAACAGCCTAGTAAATTAGGTAAAAATATAGAGGTAGGGAATATCACAGAGGGAGAAAAATACAAAATTAAAATAAAACATTTTGTAGATTCTAATTATTAGTTGATAGAATAGCTTGTGACTATACATATTAAGAAACTAAATTTAAAAAATTAACTGATTTTGTGTCATATAATAACTGAAAAAATTATATGCAAAAAATTAAGATTATAATTTAATTTTAATAAAAAACTTAATAATTTTTTTCCATTAACTGCAAAATTGTTGGTACTCATTTTTCATTATATTTTATATTATTTTAATCCAATAAAACACTTACTTTCTAATTGAAATTTATTCCCAACAAAAATTAAATTAATTACAAATAAATAATTAGGATTAAATGGGATATTACAAATATTTTGGTATAAAAATGAACATTTTACTGTAATCTTGGTACTGTACTCTCCCTTGATCAGCAAACCCAAACAACATATATATTTATATATGATATATATTTATTTAGGATATAATTACAGAGGCCTATATATAATGAAAGCTGAATTCAATTTTAAATTAGCATTTTAATTGTTTTTTCAATATTAAGAATACTTAACTATAATTAAAATAGATGATGACCATTCTGGAGTACAATGTAAGAATCAAAAGTGGTGAATGATATGGCCACTAAAAAAGAGAATGACTTCCCTACCATTGTGTGAGCTCACCAAGCAGAACTATTCAGTTCTTGACTTTGATACCTCTCATAAAAGTACATAGAGGATGTAAAATAGCCTGTTGGCTAAAAATAAAATAAATTAATAGTTTCATTATCAGATTTTTTACTAGGGATAAACAAGGCATAGGTTTAATTTGTTGTAATTAATCTAATTAGATTCGTCTAGGTATGGACCATTAAATCCCCAACTCTTAATTTATTTAATATTCTTTTTCATTCAGCCATGTGTAGGCTGTCATTAAATATTTGCTGTTAAGCAGGAGATAAATATGAAAACAATAGACTTTTTAATTGTGACTTTGTGTTCTCTAGTCATTCCTTCAATATTTGCATTTGTATAATCTTTCCATAAATAAATATAAATTAACATTATTATTTTTACAAAATAACAGAATTACAACAATATATTCCATTATATCTTATTGTTGTTATATTCATTCATTATTTTATTGTTATTTATTATTTTCATGTGTAATTATTCTGATAAAGGTTTTACATAAGTTTTTACATGATTAAAGGATTATGATTTATTTAGCTGGCAAGTTGGCACCTTAAAAATTAGGATAATCTAAAACAAGAAAAATCTAATTAGGTTGATTATAATAAATTAATTTAGAAGAATATGAAATATAAGGTAGAATTTTTATATAATTTTAAATCTAATATAAAAACAATAATGTATTCAGTTTTATTCAACATGTTCACTAGACCATATTTGTATGGTCTAGTGGCCATTAAGAAATGGTAGAATTGGATGCATATTACATCCATGTTGTGGGGTTTTATGACTCATACAGAATTAAAAATGTTTTTATTTATTCCAGGAGATTAATGAACCTGAGGGTATTGAATGGGAAGAATTTGAAATGAATGACTCTCCACCAATGAATAATTCAAAGCCTGAAGTTAATAATTCAAAATCATCAAATTCATTCAAGTAATATTTTATTATTTATAAATTTTTTTTAACATATTATATATTTTTTTTAAACTAAAATATTCTGAATTGAAACACTAAATTTTAACAGAGCACTTGAAGTTGGTGCTCAAAGGCCATCTCCTGGAAGTGTGGGAAAACTTCGGATATCTAATGAAATGAAACATAAGTTAGAAATGGTTACAGCAAATCACTCACTGCGATCGACCAGTTCTAGAACTCCTGCTCCTCTTCCCAATATGAACCCACCAGCAAAGCTTGATTCTGACAGAAGAAACTTGTTGCAACATCAATTAGGTATTATTTTGGTTGATAATATTCAAAATATTATTTTGACAGAAATTATTAACAAAAAAAAAAAAAGATCCCTGTTGAGGCATAAAAATTAGATTATACAAATAACCACTAATCATTAATATATCAGCATTTATATGCTTTTTTTTCTAATTTCTAGTGGAAGATTAAATTAAGTATTCTTTATAGCAAAAAGCTCTGACCTTTATGATTGAATTGGTTCAGCTAAAATTTTAATAATATGCCAAAAATTGATGTACATCTTAAAAATCAACATTCTTTAAGGAACAGAAACATTTATCCATTTTTTCCACTTTGATTCAGCTGGTCGCTGGGGCAGTATAGACAGTGTAGATGCTCGTACAAAGGAAGATAGGCCAGATGTTACCCAGAACAACATTAGAACACAGGTTAGAAGATTGCTGTTAATTTATATAAAATGAACATAGTTTATTAAGCTGACTTGTAATAAATTAAATTGTTTAATTTCTGATGCTAAATAACATTGTAATTATTAATTGTAGGAAAAGAATTCTGGCTGGCGGCCCCCACCACCTCCTGTGGCTCCCCACCCCCTCACTCCATCCAGGACCAGCAGTCTTTACTCACATGGTCACAGGTAACTTCTTAGGCAATCCTGCTTAAACAATGCCTCTTACTTCATTCATATTTGTCAGACTGTTTTGGATTTTTTTTCTAACAAACTTGAATGTGAAACATTTATATTATATCAGCTCTGATTAAATCATGCCACATTTCAGCAATTCCGCTCCGCCAGCACCGATAGAACCCATCAGAAGAGAAATTTTTCCAGATCAGCAAATGTTCAACAATCAAGTTAATTCACAACATTCTGATCAAATAGAGAGTAAGTCAATTATTTATTATAATCATTTATCAAAATCATAATTATTATTATTTTCTTTAGTTAATTAGATTTAAAGTTTATTTAATGTATTTTTTGATAAATTCAAAAAATGAATTGGTTCGGTAATTAATTAACTTATTCATCTAATAATATATTTTTCAAATTATTATTATCAAGAACTTTTTTTTAAATTTTATATAATAGATGTCTCATTTTAATTTGATAGTTTTATTAAATTGAGTGTAGAAAGCTATATTATCCATTAATTTTTTATTGTATTTTAAGACTTTCATATGAAATAAGTTTGTTATCTTGAATCTTTCATTGATATATTAATTATGCTGACTTTGATGCAATATTAATAATGTAATAAATGGAGGTTTGAATCAACCTCTGATTAAAATTTTATTTAGATTTGAATAAAAAGTTTTCTCCCTATCATATTCATAAGTGTTTGATGTTTCAAAATTGTCAAAAAGGTTTTTTGTAAATAAAATAAAAATACTATTGGAAGAGAGAAACACTTTATTTTCATAAAATCTTAATATTAATATTAATATTAAAAGGATAAACTCCTTCCAACATTTTAAAATGTTCTGTCTGATGTTTTTATTTTAAGTTATTTATTAAAATATTTTATCCATTAAAAAATACAGTTTTACAGAATCTAGTAATTAGATCAATGAAAAAAATATTTTATAAATTACAGTTGAGGAGAGTGGGGAATTCCTTGGTGGGCCTGTAGAACCTCTACCAATCTTACCATCACCTCCAGAGATCAATACAAACACAAAGCTTCACTCTCCTCCTTCTGCTGCATACTTTACCTACAACAGAGTAGTATGGAAACTAAATATCAGGAAAGAGGTGAGAAATTCCACTTTCATCTACGGTTGTTGGTCTGATTTAGAAAGGAGAAAGCATGTCTTTTGTTTGAGATTTTTACTTGAACCTCAGCAGTGAGCTGGGTTTATCTGATTGATTTATGTACATAACGATGACAAAACTGCTTGGTTATGAACAATTTGAATTACAGGTTTTCTCTCCAAAGGAGACAGTCTCCAATCCCCTTGTCTTGCATCTCATCTACTGTCAAGTTGTGAAAGATTGTTTGACCAAACAGACACCAAGAATCACCAAAGAAGAGAGATCAGATATGATTCAGGTCAGAATTTTCTATATTAGCCCTGCAAAACACTATAAAATATATTGAAAGAAAAGAATATATTATTGCTAAAATTTTCAATTTTGGTGTTACTAATTACTAATTAATTTCAAATTATATATTTAATATCTGTTATATTTTTTTAAAAAAATTAAATCAATTATTATTGCTCATTCTAAATAAAAAGCTTAATTTGTTGATAATTATGTACCAATTTTTCATATATTTATTTTATAATTTACTTTTTTTTCCAACTTTTGAAACTATAATTTTTTTAAAAATCACCATAAAGTAAGGCTTTAACTAATTTGTAGTTAAGTTTTGAAATGGTAATTGATTTAAGTAAGATTTTCATTGGGGATTTAATTATTTCAGTGACTTATAATTCAGTTATAATAATTATTTTATTGCAATTGAAGTAAGGAAATGAATAAGGGTCTACATGACTTCACATTATTTTTTTTTATAAGTTTCTAACTTGAATAACATAAAAGGAACATTACTTCAATAAAAAATATATATATATGTACATTTTTCTCTGATTACCCCTGATTGTGGAAGTAAGAAAATCCCATTTATTTCATTTGTAACTTCATATATACCTTGTAACCTGCAATCCAAAAATCATGATTACAATTTTTCTGAAGACACTTGACCTTGTTGCACTTCCATGCTTCAATGATTGTATTTAATAAATGTATGGGATTTCCCCTATCATTTTAGACTTAAGTACTGCATCTGAAAATGGAGATATAGTCAACAAATTAAAAAATAAAAACATCAATTTATTAAATATGCCAGGAATCATATTTATACACTTAATAATTTTATTTAATTGGAATATAATTATTTACAGTTATCAATTAGTAATTATTTATTTAATGACAATCATTAATTTTAATTGTCCATACAACTTCGTATGCTAAACCCAAAAATATGTTGTAGCAATGATAGTGATGATAGTAGCATCAAAGAAATGTCTTATATCATTTCTTTTTGCAGTTTAGAGAGTTGACCTTGCACTTGATCTTTACTGTAAAGGAGAAGAAATCCTTTATTCACCATGACTCATCCTGTTACAATCATTATTGGATGTTTTCTTACTTTTTTCCTACTTGAAGGATATTTTTTGTCCACCTTTTCCATGACCATCACGAGAATATTATTTTTTAAACTACACTTAGATTTGAAATTGTAGTATAGTTTATTATTATAGCCATAAATATTTAAATTAATTTGTTTTGTTCACAGTTGCTGGAGAGGTTTGGAGTGACCCTCACAAATTACCAGACAGGGCAGCATAAAGCTAATGCAAAAAGGGCTGTGGTGGACATGGCACGGCATTGGTTAACTTATTTCTCCAGGCTTTTTCCTCTTTCAGTATGTTGTAAAAATTATATATATATATAAATATATATGTCAGTATAGTATAGTTTTAATTAATTTTAATCCCGTAGTTATTGATAGGTAAATTCATATGTCATCAATAATTTTTTTAATGATAAAAAAAATTGAGTTTTATTTTTATAAATTTTTTTAAATTTTTAATATTATGTATTTTATCCCAATTTTTAATGCCACAGGATGATTTCCTGATTAGATTTTAGTCATTCTTCCTTGTACAAGTTTTCTAAAGTTGTTAACCAATTATTTTTTTATGAAAAAAAATTAATATTGGCTGTTTTTGCTAATGAAGGTTATTTTCATATAGTTATTGCTCTAACTGTAATGGATTTGTACTATATAAAAATGAATTAATAAAATGTAATTCTTACTTAGTTGAAATATATTGTTTGATTTTACTTCATCATCAGAGATAATTCAATTTCTAAGGAGAATAATAAGGAGAATAATAATTTAAAAAGGCTATTTACAGACTATTAAAATTCCTGAATCTAAGAAATAAAAAAAAAAACAAATCATTCAATGTATTATGTGTTTTATGTAATCAAAAAGATTAAATAACTAGCTTGATGCTGTTTATGAGGATTTATCTAGATTTCTCAAATCTATCATTGGCTTCAAACATTGCAGTGGTTTTAGTTTTCTTAAATAGGCAATTCATATGTCATAGGCCTCTGCCAATAAGTTGTTCCTTATGTATTTCTACATTAGTTCGGTGGGTAGCGCAAAATAAATTTTAACAATTCTACTGTAGTAGTATCTCACAGCAACTCCTAGATTACCATCAAATGTTGGAAAAAAAAAAAAAAAAAAAAGCGCACTTGATTGACTAGCCCCACCTAACAATATCAGTATCAGTAATTAACCCATTTATTGTTTTAAAATGTCAATGTTTAGATAATTATTCAGTTTATATGAATGTAATTTTGATGAAGTATTTATTTATGTATTGCACTAAGCTCCAGTCTATGATCTATGATGGGCTTAGGTTACTCAAAATCCAAATTAAGAAACTAGTTTCTAAAATTTAATTAGTTCAATTAAATGGTGCATTTTAGATATTATCACTTAAGATGATTTTTTTTAATCTAGAAACTAATTGATCTTGATGTTTTGGATTAGCATAGCATCCTGAACTCTCTTTAGTTAATTCTATGCTTGTTTTTTGTGTGCACAAGTTTAATGCTAATATATTATCAAAAATCTTAAAGCCATTATGTATTTTGTTGCAATAGGGAGGACATCAATTCCCAGATGCTCAGATGGTTGCTGTCAGCCACGCTGCCATCCGTCTTGTCAGATTAGATGCCAACTACCTGCGAGTTGTTCACAGTATTAAGTCAGTATTCTATTTTTAAATAAAGTTGCCAATAAAATATATTTTTAAACATTCAATTTAATGAATCATTTTGTATTGTTTGCTCAAAGCGTCAATTTTATGAACAATAAAATATTTTGGGATATTTTTGGAAGATTCTAACTAGATAGTATAAGTATTTCAAATTAAGCTGTTAATTTTCAGTTGTTGCACTTCATGAAATTAATAGTAATAAATTTCCACTATTTAGAATATTATAATGATTTGTGGTATTAGTTTTGAAATTTAATTGATTAAAAACGACATTTTTAATGTTTTCTGATTAAAGATGTTCTATTACCAATTTCATACTGTGCAAACAACTACTTAATATTTCTATCGAAATGCATCAAATCATATGGCAAGTTTTAATCCTTGGGATACCAAAAGTTGATGAAACCTTTCTAATTTTTAATCAATTTTAACTTGAGAGAATATATTTTTTCCGTTTGCTTTGTAGACCTTGTGGATGTTTTGGCACCTTAACCAGCCATCTCCATCTCTGGCTTTCTAAGCTACTTCTTTCCAGCTACCTGCATGCAGCTCTACACAGCATCTTTGTTGATTTTTAGTCTTCCATTTGGTCCCTTGACTACTATTGAGGCAATCATTGTTGGGTAGGGGCTTCCTGATGGAATGCTTCAATCTATGAGCCATGTCCATCTCTATCTCCTTACTTTCTGTCATGATATATTGTTTGACCTGTTTCTTTATGCAGCTCTTTATTGATTCTTCTCCTCCATATGTTAGTACTTCGATCTCAGATTGCTCCAGTTATTATGTAGAGGATTTTTCACTCAAAATTTTCAATACTTTTTTCTAGAGTGCTGGTTAGTGCCCAGATCTCGCAACTGTATGTCAGGACTGATTTTATCGTAACATTTCAGATCCTTAATTCTGATTTCTAAAGATTTTTCGGGATTTCAATTCCTTTTAAAGAGAGAAGAAAGTTCTGTTTGTGCTTGTTATATGCTGGCCATTCATTAAAGTTATTGTGCAGCTAAGAATTAAAACTTTTATTTCAAATCTTTCAAAAATTCTTTAATGATTATATGTTTTTTACTTTCACTTACCTATATATGCTATTTGTAGTAAGGGAAAATATTGCAATCGTGAAAATTTTCGAATCTGAGTTTTCAAAGAAAATACATGTTTTGAGGTCCCCTGAGTTCAAATAACTGAGTTCCACAAAATGGTGTGTGTGTGCGCGCATGCGTGCGTACATGTGTGTGTGTGTGTGTGTGAACAGTCGTGCTCAAAAATGAAAAATCATACACAAAATTTGTTAATTTCTGGGGTATTACAGCAACTTTTTGGTCAAAATCGACTAACTGGAATGATTGATTATTGATTTAACACATTTTCACAATTTCCTTGAAAATGGCTCTTAACAATTTTGTTTAATGGAAATATGGAAATGAAAAGTGATGATGCAATTCATTTATAAACAAAATTAAGCAGTTTATTATATAATGTAGGTCTTTTTCACATTAATGTTCTCAAACAAGATTTAAATGCCTAATTTTCAAAATTTCTTCCGTTAAAGTACCTTCATTTTTTTTTCATTTTGAAATAATTAACCATTTCACATTGTAACCTGTTATAAAAAATGGTTAAATATAATGAATGAATAAAATTTACTTGTAACTAAAGGAGAAATAAGGGTTAGAAGCTCTACGGAAACAGCCAAGAGTGCCCGATCCCCTTCCTTTACAGATACCCAATATCTCTCCGTACTGGGCTTTCGTATTGTTAGTTTAACTTTTATACAGATATTTATTCGTAACTTTCTAAAAATGTTTTCACATGAATTGTTGAGAATCTACTAATATAAACCTAATAATATATAATATTTACTAAAGTTAAGGTATTTTTTCAATGGCCTACATGATAAATATCTCCTATAAAACTCAGTATTTTTCTAAAAATCTATTTTTCTGCACAATCATTAGTATTTTATGATAATATAAACAGTCAAAAATGGAAAGTGATGCAAACATATAAATTTAACAGATTCGATGGGCAGGAAAAAATGGTAATTAATGAAGTTATACTATCACTTCCCTATATTAGAAAATACTTATATACTCTAAGCTGGTAAGTGAAAGTTGTGTGAAGCCCACACTACAGCATTTTTTTTTTTTTATTTAGTGCATCACTTCTGTGCTACATAAATATTTTTTTAGTCTTCAAAAATATTTCATTGCGAATTTTATTTATCCACATATTTCAGTTTGAGGTTTGGTTTTAAAATGACTTATTGTTTTTTAAAGGCTGAATGAGATAGCTGATACCGGCCTTAGTAAAGGAGGTGGTTCATTGCATATTGTACTAAGTTCTGGTGAAAGGTTTCCTCTTTATACTCAGCGAGCTAAACAATTGCAAATTTTAATTAATGCATTTGTAAGAGAAGCTGCAGGCACAGCAAACACCACTATTAACCGAGAATTACATCAAGCTCGTATTATGGTAACATTATTCTATCTATTAATTTTATATTCATCTGATAATCATGAGAAATCATACTAAACTGCATTTTTATATTTCAGGAAGAAAGAGCCAGGCCTGTGGATCACAAAGGTAAAGACATCTAAATAATCTTAAAATTTATATTGTTTATTTCTCCAAGGTTTTTACCGCAATTAAGGTAGAAGAAACCAATGTCTTCCATCTGAAAGGCAACCAGATGGAAATCTAGCCTACACCACTAATTTTCTTGAGCAAAAATGAATAGAAATAATTCAACATTCATTGATTTACTAATTTTTGAGGATTTCAATATAAACAGGAAGCAATTTCTTTTTTAATAATACTGAAATTTATTTTACTGGACTTTTTTCATGGTTGTTTCCCAAACAATTTCCTGTATTAACTCAATTTGATCAAGAAACTTAATTGTAACAGGGTTTCGTTAGGTTGCAGGACCATTTTGGTCAAACATTTTCAAAATTTTTGACCAAAAGTTTTCAGCATTCCTTATTTTCAAAAAATATGTTATCATCCATAATATGCTGTGTATTCTTTCATTTTTCTATTGTTTTTTGTCAGAGAATCTGCTTTTCATTATATTCTTTTTGTAGTAAAAATTTTGGAGTGAACCCATGACCAAGTTTTAAAATAGATTGAAATTATAAGGGATAGAACATCTCGTGGGTAGCTAATGTCAACTTTTTTGTTACTCTTCAGGTTTACTTCCTTAAATATTTTCCATTATTTATGAAATATACCATATATGGAATTGAATTAATGGAAATGCTAATTCTCATTTTTCAATTTTTGAAAAAATTGACATGAATAACAAACAAAACTTGAACAAGGTAAAGTTAATTTCCTGTGACACCTAGTGGGAAGAAAATATGTTAACTACTGTTCCGACTGTCCAAGAAACTAAACCATATAAAAGGATCTTAAAGTCTGTTGTAATCTCTGCTAGTAGTTGAAAACTTTAATACTTAACTAATATTTCTAGCATAAGCTTTGGTTGATAAACTTGATCGTGTAAAATGTCTCAGCTAAAGTTTTACAAAATAGTTTAATCTTTGTTCATAGTTGGACTACGAATCAGCACCCCATTTTATTGTAATTCTAATATACATCTTCTAATTATAATTATAATGTACATAACAGTTTTTTTTTATTATTATTTTAAGGCTGGCAGCAAGACATCAGGCTTATTACTCCAGCCGCTGTTACGCATAATCAACAACCAACCGTAAGTATATTATTGTTTATTTCATAACCAAAAAATGTCACTATAATGATCAAGTTAAATTATTTGCTGTTTTTTTTTTTTAAAAAAAACAAACAAAAAAAACATATTTTTAATACTATCCATAATTTTATTGAAGGTTACCGATGATGGTAAACATTCTCTCCTTCAGTTTGCTATACACCATTTCAGAAAAAGTCCTGAAAAGTTTGAAATGCTCAAAGCTCCTGATGGGAATATCACAGGATCTTTGAAAGTTGTCCAGGGCATCAAGAAAGGAGACTGGACATGGAAAGAACAGGTGAGGGTCACTAATAATTGGAATTTTCACTAATAATTCACCTTTAGGCAACCTAGGCAGTACTTTTTTCAAGTTATTTGTCATTATTTTTTTATTGCAGAATTTATATAAATTAAATAATTGCCTTATTGTAGGTGGACTTAGTGAAATACACTGGCACACCAATCACAGAATCATTGCTCAAATTGAATCCAGAATTAAACCAACTTGCGGTTGAATGTTTCGAATGTGCCATGAGATATATGGGTGACCTTCCTACAACACCTGATCTGACCGAAGTCAAGTGTGTTTATACCATCTTAATGGTAAGTTTAAATATTTAACTTAAATGTAACATTTTGTTTTATTTCTATTTCTGGGTAAGAATTTAAATATCCAATCTATTTTTGCATATAATGTGCATTTAAGTAACTTTTAATTGATTATAATATTATTATTGATAATAATAATATTGATGCTCTTTTTGCATGTATTTATAATCCAATTAAGTTATGAATGTAAACTTAAAGAAATTGAGTGATTTCTTTCTTGCATAAAGTAAAAAAACAAAAAAAATTGTGTTGAAAATATGTTTTACATTTTGTACATCAAGAAACAAATTTGGTTCCGTCACTGTCTGTCTATCTACATTGTGTGCATAACATCTACTATCATTATACTAACTTAGATAAAATTTTCATAGATAGTACTGGTTGCCACATAAATGCTTAAGTATCAATTTTATCAAGTTCCATCCTTGACTTTCAGTTACGCTTGTGCAAATACATTTTCTTAGACGAGTCTATATTTCAATGAGGCTCATTCAATTTGGCTAAGAGGTGGAGATTAATGGAAAAAATGGTGCTACATAAATTCCGTCTCTTACTTTTGTTTGTACATATGAAATTGTATTTTCCTTGGCATGACTGTATTTAAAATATGGCTTGTTTGATTTGGTATATAGTAGGAGAAAAGATGGACACTATGTCCAAATGTCCATTATCAATTTTATTTCATCCATTACTTTTAATTATGCATATGTAAAGGTATTTTTGTTATATAGCTATATTTAAAAAATGGAGCTTCTCATAAATTTTATTCTAAAAAACAAAACTTGAAATATAGGTAGTATCTCTATAGTTATTTATGTAATATTATGAGAAAATTATACAGATCGGTCATTAAATTTAGAACTTGAGGAGGGGGCTGTTGGCTACATTAATGGAAGTATGAGTTTGTTTTGATCATATTATTTAATGTTAAAAAAAACAAAGTGACTAAACAGTATCATCTATCAACAAATGAGTTGCACCAATAGACACTAGCATTGTGAGATCAACAATTTTGTGCCTATAAATTTGTGTGTTGTTTCTCCATCGAATATGGTGCTTTTTAAAATGGTGTTTCTTAGTGAAAACTTTCAAGAAATAAAGAACATTAAATTCTGCATTGGAACATTACCCAATATTATAAATTTGATTCAAAATTATATTTTAAAAAAAATTCTAAAAATCTGTAAACGTAGGGCTGAAAGAGCAATTATAGGAAAATGGAATATGAGAACAATTCTAGCCCAAGCTCTCATACATGTAGATGATTTTGCCCTCAAAAGCAAATGGCATCTATTGCCAGATCTGCAACATAGCTGTAGGAAAACGAGAGGTAGAAAATCTGACTAAGATCAATAATATTATAAAATAATAATTGAAGAAATGAATTTTTCACTTTACCTATAAAATGGAGTAAATGAAAAATTAATTTTTTAATAGGTTCTTTATCTTAGAGCATGAGTTGAACAATTTTTAAACTTGAGGATGACAAAATATTGACTGGTGTTTGTTAATTTTAACTTAAGACATATTTATTTAGAATTTTATAAGATAGTCAATGTTTGTAATTAAAATTACATAGCTACTGTAATCCTATGAGGTTAATTATAAAAAGAAAAAAAATTGTCTATATTTGAAATTTTAGTCATTTTTATTTATTTAATCTTCTCCTCTTCTACCACACAGCAGTTTGAGGATCCCTTCCGTAGAGCTTAATCCAAGAATCTCTATCTTCAACTCTCCGTCTTCTCCTTCACCAATCCAGTCCTCTTTTGTCAAAGGCATCCTGGTTTGCACCTTTCCATGTCTTCCTCGGTCTTCCTCTTGGCCTTTGCCCTTCCACCTTTGTTTCATACACCAATTTCATCAACCTGTCCTGTTCCATTCTAACAACATGGCCGAACCATCTCAACTGGTGTTACTCGATGATATACTCAGCTGGCCTAAGTTCAAGGTTTGACCTCTTTGTCTTATTTCGGACTCGGTCTCTTCTTGTCTTTCCCTCCATTCTTCTTAAGTACTGCATCTCTATAACTTGAACTTGGTTCTTGTATTTTGTGGTGAGACTCCAAGATTCACTTGAATAGGTGAAAATCGGTAAGAAAGTGTTTCTGTAAATTACTTTCTCTGTGTTCTTTGGCACTTCTTTCTTAAGAGAATTGAAACATCTACTTGCAGCTTTTATTCTTTCATTTATTTCACCGTCTATTCATCCTTATTTGTTCAGGTGAGCACCAAGATACTTAAAATTCTTTACTTGCTTTAACTTTGCTTGGTTGAGTCTTACCACTTGATCCCCATGTCCGCTTTTCCTTCCTATTCTCATTATCTTTGTTTTGCCTGCATTGATAATCATATTGACAGTTTCTAATTCCTTCTGTTGAATGACGATGTTGAATTGGAGGTTCTTACAGTTGTTTGCGAATAAAACTAGGTCATCCGCGAAGAAAAAGACCAAGGTGGGCGGACCTTGAGGTTTCTGTAACCTAAGTTGTAGAGTCTTATCATTGATTTAGCTTTGTTGAGAGCCGTGTCCACAGTAATGAAAAAAAACAGTGGATTCAGGGCTGCTTCCTTGCACCTGAAGCCTTGGGTAGTCCCAAATTCTTTCAATGTTCTTTTTTTTTTTTTTTTTGTTCTCTACTTCTTCTTTTAGGCTATGTGGGGTATTTTCCTGGGCGGTGAGTGAGGGCAGAGAATTTTAAATCCCGTCCGCCACCGGGACACGAACTCGTACTTTTTTAATCTCATAACTTCGGTTACCTGATTGCAGGATAATTGACATTTTTCTTCCCTAGTGTCATTACGATGTCCTTCTTCCTGATCCTGTCAAAGGCCTTCGTGAGATCGAAAAAAAGGTCAAGACTTCCTTATTCTTTTCTATGACCTTTTCAGATATTTATCTTAAAGAGAAGATAAGATCCTGAGCTCTTCTGTTTCTTCTAAATCCGCACTATTCTTCTCCTAATATTGGTTCCACTGCATTCCTGAGGCGTCTTTTGTAGGATTTTGGAATACATTTTGCTTGGTACACTAAGAAGAGGGATATGCCTTTTATCTCCTTTTTTAATATCTTGGGACTTCTTTGTTCTTCCATATTATATTTAGAAGATGTTGGAATATTTTTTGTCCCGTTGTTCCCATGCATTTCATCATCTCTGGTATGATGTCATATATCCCTGCTGCTTTACCTAATTTGAGGCTTGATAAGATCTCTTCAATTTCATCTTCATTTATGAAGTCGTCCTCCTCCTGGACTATTTGTAACAAATCTTCTGTTCTATATGTGGCTGTTGGCTGCTATCATTTTCCAGTACTTCCTCGAAGTACTCGGACCATCTATTCATGATTTGTTTGGGTTGCTAAGAATGTTCCCTTGCTTGTCTTTAATATGCTTTATTGGAGGTTCTTTTTCTTTGCGCATAATTCGGATTATTTTATAAAATAACTTTTGAAATTCTCTTTTATTTTGCTTCCAAATCCTTCCCAGGCTTTTCTTTTTCAGCTGTGACGACTTCTTTTGTTTTCTTTCTCTGTTCCTTGTAGAGCCTGTAATCTGCATTCGTGCTGGTGTTGAGAAACTGTTTCCATTTTAGTTTTTTCTTTTTAGTAATTATAAGTTAAAATATCGTCTATATAAAATTGTTTTAAATACTATATTTTTTTGTTGAAGTTTCTTGTTCAATTAAAAAAACAACAACATTGAAATGGATAAAATAATTAAATAATAATTCTCTATAACTAAATATATCTTTTATTCATTTCCTTTTTAATCTTCAATACATTCGCTCTGTGCAATTTTTATTGAGAATAGTTATTGTTTTTAATTTTCTTTTGTCTAATTTTTTATTTAAAAATATACTTATTTAGTGTGTATTTTTTTATTATTAGCACTGTCATAAGCATGTGGCTCTGAGAGATGAAGTTTATTGTCAACTCATGAAGCAAACAACCTCAAACAAACGTGACTCCTGCCAAAGGGGTTGGAGGTTGCTGAGTATTGTAGCAGCTTATTTCACATGTTCAGACACACTGAAGCCTTACCTAATAAAATATCTTGAAACGGCCGCATATGATAAGAGGAGAGCTCATCATGGTAAGTTGATTATATTTTCGAAATTCATTTTTAGAAGCAATGTGAAATTAGAATTTTAATTTACTTTTTTTGTTTCCTTAAAAATTATGATTTTATTTTTTTCTTTGTTGATAGGAAAAGTAATGCCTATAATTTACATCCTTAAGATACAGAATCTCATGTCATTGTTTACTTAGAAAGAAAATTTTCTACATAAGTTTTATAAAATCCTATATTTTAAAAGTGAATATTTCAAGTGTTTGATATTCAGTATTTTGAAGTTAGAGCCCAAATCGAATAGTTGTACAACTTTTAATATTTTAAAGAATCCAATTTTTCTACATTTTTCCTTTATCTTAAAAGAAAGTAACTAATTTATTAAGGATAGAATTTCAAATTGATCTTATTTTCTTAGCTTTTATTCCCTTTTACTCCAAAGTTGCGTCCTTTAAGCCATTTTAAGTAATAATAAGGTTCTTCTTTAATAATAGCTTGTCGGCCAAAACGTTAAAGTTAGAAGGAAGTATAAGTTAGGACAATAAGATCAATTTTAAATTTTGTTATTAATTACAAACCAAATGTTAAACAATAAAAATAGTTCAAATTTAAGGTAACAAATGTACACTAGGAAAAGCTTATAAAAAAATAATTTCATTATTTTAGGAAATACTTCAAAGATAATTTGAAATTTCATAGCATTGTAATTAACAAAAGTTGGTGTGAATCACTCATGTCACAGAACATTTAGAAATTAATTATGACAGGCATTCAAATATTCACATTTACCGATGTCAATTTTTGTTAACAGGTACTGCCAGTGTATGTTTACAAAATCTTCGGAAAACTTTGAAATATGGGGGAAGGAAAAATGTGCCATCTGTTGAAGAAGTTACTGCAGTCAGTGCTGGTAGAAATTCAAAAAGACAAATGTATAGGCTACCAGGGGGTAGCGAAACGGTAAAATCATTTTTCATTATTTGAATAATTTATTTAATTTTTTTTTAATTTTCAGTATAATTTATTTATTATTTTAGGTAGATTTGAAACTAATGAAATCTGTTAGTCTCATTTTATGAAAGGTACCACCTAGGTTTCACAGTTTATCCTGTCCATATCAGCTCTTCTTATACTCTTGGTTTTGTGAATTTAGTTCGAAAAGCAATTTTAGGATTGATCTTAAGTTTTGTTATTGTCAGCTATCCTGCACATTTAAACCAATCAAGACAAACAATGTTTTATCTTGTTTTAAGATTTGTATTTTTTCATTAGTTGTCCTCTGCCTTTAGTTTTAAATGATTCCTGCATAAATACAACTTATTCTTCTTTTCTTATTCTTGAAAAATGCACTCCTCTATTTTATGAAACATCCTGCAGTTTCTTAACTGCCTGAATCATAATTATAATATATGAATTTATATTTAATTTCTAATTTATTTATATTATTATATTATATTATATTAATTATATATTTATATTTCTAAAAAAAATTAGTTTTATATTTGTTTTTCTTATCATGAATTAGTATTTTAAAAATAATTAATTCCTTAAATTCAAGGTGGTCCACACAAAGTCAACAACTGTCGTACAGGATGTTGTACAAGAAATGTGCACCCTTATCGGTGTGGAAGACCCAATAGAAGTAATGGAATACTCCCTTTACTGTATAGTTGAGGGGGATACTTTCACAATGCCTCTAGCCAGAGAAGAATACATATTAGATGTGACCACTGAGTTACTCAAAGCACAGCAGGTTAGAATGATTGCTATAATAAATGCCACAATGTATAATTAACTTATGTTTTATTAAATGATTCATACTATGGCTCTCTTTCCAGGTGTTCTATCTCATATTCTGCCGGTCAGTATGGCACTTCCCTTTGAGGTTAGAGAATCAGCTGTATGTGCAAGTTTTATTCAATCAAATTGCTCCAGACTATCTTGAAGGGTTACTCTTAGTCACTCCTAATGAACATATCTCTCAAGAAGTCATTGTGAGTTTAGATTTACTTCCCTATTCAATGTTAAATAAATCTTTAGGTGTTACGAATAATATTTAATATGGGTTCATAATATCTTTTATAGTTTGAGATGGCTAAAATTGGAGCATTATTGCACAGAGCTGCAGATATGACCCATCCACCCGGTACTAAGGAAACTAAATTCCTCCTTCCAAAGACTGTCCTTGGTTACCGTGATATGAGGCCTGGGGAGTGGGTTCAGATGGTCAGTGCAGCATGGACATCTGGTGTCCAAACTGTGACATCAATAGATGCTAAAGCCAGCCTATTAGGTATTTTTTATTAAAATTATTATTTTAAATTAAAGATTTCAGTTTATTTACACATAATTTTGATTGGTTGTGATGATTTAAAATTAAAATTAACTTAAGTTTTATTATATACCTCTAGTTATCGCTGAACATAAGTTTAAATGTTATAGGTTTTTAACTACATTTTTTTTAAATGTGAGTAATGTGTTTTTTTCTGTCTCTGATACAATACATGATCCATATTAAATTTATATGTATGTGTTTATTGATGAAACATTTCATTAATTTATCGAGTTATTATATAAAATAATGAATCTATCTACAATACTTATATAGTAATAAATTTTTTTTTAAATTATACATTTTGAATGTAACAGCTTAAATGTCTATTATTTTCAGAAATTTTAAGTAAATGGCCTTTATTTGGATCAAGTTTTTTTGCTGTTAAAAGAAGTGGAGACCAGCAGATTTTGGCTCTCAATCGATCCGGAGTACATTTCCTACACTTGGTGACCCATGTAAGGCTATTTATTTTGTAATGGTTAGCCTCTACTATTTGCTATGCTCTATTTATAAATGTATTACTAATTCAGAGTGCTTGTCTCATTTATTGAGAAATTTAGTTTAAAATAGAAGTAAAAGTAATCACTTTTTTCAAATTACAAAACATAGAGTTAATAACAAATTTATTAAGCACAAAAAGAAAAATAAATTCATTGTTTTCAAAAAGTCAGTTCTGCTATTTAAAAAGTATTAGTTAAATGTGCATTACAATTTTATTACAGGAAGAAAAAAATATATTAAACAATAGTTTATAATTAAAATCTTTTATCTATGAATATAGTTAATTACTTTTGTTCCTAATTTTTTGTTGATACAAATTATTTTAGGTGTCTATGTTATTTTTAATCCTTACTTTAATACGACATAACTACTTTAAATCAATTGATGAAAACATTTTATTTTTATGTCAGTGGTAAAAGGATCCTCCATATATTCAATAGAACTTTCGATATTTTAATTATATTAAATCAGTTACAGACAGCCCTTTCAACTTTGCAAATCGATTACAAATATTGAATGGTAGAAAATAGAAGGATTTTAAAAAAATGTGTGCTAAAAACAGTGTTTTAAAGTATTCATTTATCAATGCGTATGCATAAAAAAGTTAACAAGGCATGTTTTTTAATTTTTTCATATTTTAGGCAATAAAACTTCCAATTTTCTGCATATTTTTTTATTTATGTTTGTTGTCTCTTACGTTTCCGGACATTTTTCCCATCATCATAGTAATATTTTTATTTTTACTTTTTTTTTTTTATGTGGCACCATTTGTCAAAAATTAAATATTTGTTACATTTTTTAAAATTTATTTGGTGTTACACATATTCATTCATACACTAATCAACTATTTAGTGATCAATGATTAGTGTATCAATGAATATGTGTAACACCAAATAAATTTTAAAAAATGTGACAAATATTTAATTTTTGACAAATGGTGCCACATCAAAAAAAGAAAGTAAAAATAAAGATATTACTCTGATGATGGGAAAATTGTCCGGAAACGTAAGAGACAATAAACATAAATAAAAAAATATGAAGAAAATTGGAAGTTTATTGCCTAAAATATGAAAAAATTATAAACGTAAGCTCCCTAATTAAAAAAGAAAAATAAGAAGATGACTGGCATGTTTTTAAGTTTTTTGGAGTGCTTTCTACATAAACCTATTATGGTTAACTCTACAGCATTTTTTTTTTCTTGATGAAGGTTCAATAAAGATCACAAAATTAACTTCTTATCTACTTTAAATAAATTTGTACAATCAGGAAAAAATTCTTTCATAAATTGTTTTTCTACTTCAGTCGATTCCCCAGTAAATTTAATATGATATAAAGTATGTCTCATTTTAAATTTGTCAAACCAACCACTAGATCCTTTAAACAAAGTGTTAGAATTTTCAATTAATCTAGTCTTCCAATCTTCATGTTGATTAAGAATAATTGAATAATTTAAAAATTCTTGATGTTGATCACCATCAATTCAATATAATAAAGATCTTTACATTTCAACAAATACTATGCCATGTCTTTTGAAATCAATCTTTGAAATTGGTGTATTATCAGATGCTTCCTAACTTATCTCAAAACAAATTAAAACATTAATAGAAGCTCAGTAAAGATTTGAAAATTGTAGAAAACTTATAAAAACTGAAAATGCTAATTATGTCATTAGTGTTAACATAGTCTTTGACAATGATATGTCCATTACAAAGATTTGATCCTATTCTCCCAAGTAAAAAGCATACTACTAATATGTATATTCTTTTAAAATATATTTCCATAATTTTGGACAAATATGTGAATTTGACTGATTATCAAATTTTTATTTAAAAATTCAGCTTAATATTTGGCTAGATATTGCTATATTTCTCTCTCCTTTTTAAAAATATTTTTGATAAATCATGTTATCACTTTTTCTTTTATGCATACTATATAAGCATGGAGCAAATTTCTTAATTATTGAGAAAAAGAACTTTTTTCAAAAAGAAGAACTTTTAAAATTGTTTGCAAATCGCAATTTGTGCAACATTAAAGGGCTGCCTGTAAATAAATAATATCAAGTTTTGATCAATGAGTTAGCTTTGTAAAAGAGTATATCTTTGTTTTTATTAAAAATTATGAAAAATTACAAACAGATTTGTAAATACAAACATGACTTTTAAAATTTATCATTTACCCTTTTTAGCTATTGAAACTTTTTACTGATATAAGCTTTGAATTTAATCTTCCTTTATAAATTTTCTCTTTTTTTAATGTTCTTTATTTTTATATAAATATTTTGGATTATGGTTGTTTTTTAATTAGTACTATAAATTTTAAGGTGTGTTCTAGGTTCTTTTAAAAAGAATTCTAGAGCTTACAATAAGTTTATTATCTTTTTCTAAAGCTGCTGTCTTTTAATGAATGAAGTTTAAATTTATTTTCAAATTCTCTTTTCATAGACACTGTCATAAATATATTTGAAAGTATAATAAGTATAACATACTCTGTACAACAATTAACTTTTTTCCATTAATTTTTTTCATAGGAAACTCTTTCGACAGTACCCTATTCTGAAGTAATTTCAACCAGAAAAGTTAGAGCAGAGAGTGGAATAATGTATGTAGAACTGAAGGTAGGCAACTTATTCCAACAGCGTGTGGCGAGGCTCCAGACTGATCAAGCTCATGAGATTGCTAGGCTAATTAGACAGTATATGGCTTTGCATAGGCGTAAGTACCTTATAGTTGTGTAGCATGGCATAAAAATATACTACTATATTATTATGTTACATTATTGTCTGCAATAAATTTGCAAAGCTACAAGTTGCTGCTTACCACATGGGTGTGGTAAATTTATCTTCTTAATTTATGATAATTTGAAGATTTCCTATTTCCCTCTTTAATAAAAATTGATGCAGTGTATCCTCTCTCCAATAAACACTTCATACCAGAAAATGTTTAAATATCCTGCTCTGAAATTATTGGAATCTAAACACATTTGCAATGGTCACCATTCAAACATACACAGATAGCAGAATATTAATCACCAAGAGATAAATTAACCCTTCTGAAATGATGAAAAAGGAAATATATTTAATGGTATTATTTTTCCATATAAAAACACTTTTTATACTTAAAACAAAGTAAATTTTTATTGAACCACCTATGACAATGTTTCAGGCTCATCTTGAAGTTACGATTGTTTCTGTAACATGTACAAAAACATTAACTTAAAAACACCAACACTTACAAATATTATTCTTTAAATTGCTTGTATATAGCCCATTCGGCCACCCCACCCCCAAGATTTTCCGGTACTGGGTTCGATTCCCGGTATCAGAAAACCTTGGGGGCGGGGTGGCCGAATGGGTTAAAGTGTGTGCACAGCACTGCGAGTTGCCTGGCAACCAGATAACAGAGGTATACTTATAGTGTAGTGGCTAGCAATCTAGTCCCTAACTGTGAACTCTCTTGGTTCAAAACCGGTTTCACCATAGCAGTTTTTTTTGCGGCGGGATGGCCGAACAGGCTAACGTGTATGCACAGCACCGCTGTTGCCCGGCAACCTGATCTATGAAACAATGGATTTAAAATAGTCACGAGTTCGTGTCCCAGTGCTGGGGGAGTCTTTTAAATCCCCGTCCACACACCTTGGCCCATGAAAACCACGTATAGCCTTAAAGGCAAGGAAGGGGACGACCCAAAAAAAAAACGGATAACAGATTTGAGAAGATTATAAAAAGTACGAGTTCGTATCCCGGTGCTGGAGGGGATTTTAAATTCTCCACCCTCATCCCCCGGCCCGGGAAAATCCCGTATAGCCTAAAAGGCGAGGTAGGGAATAACAGAAAAAAAAAAAAAATTGCCAGTATATTAAAACCATATTATTAAGTTAGTAAAAACAAACTATTTTAGTAATGACATTAATGTTATTAGGACAAAACATAGGAAACACTGTAAAATAAGTAAATAAAACACAATTAAATTAAATTTATTTTATAAAGTTGTAAGAATTGAATTAGACCGTGTTAGAATTTATATGAAGATTTTATAAATTATTATTTTTTGGTTGTTATTATTGTAAAAAATCTAATCAAAATTTTTTTATTGGCTACAAATTTATTATTTTTCAAACTATTTTTAAAAAAATATGTATACAAATGAAATTCAAAATTGTAGTAATAATGTTCATATTCATTCAAATTAATTAACTTATTTTGATATGTGCATGTACCTATTTGTTTTTTAATAATCATTTATTACTCCTTCTAAGTGGACATCCTTTTGCACGGGACAAAGCATATTTTGTTTTACTGATATATGATTGATTAAAAAATCTCTTTTATTATTTCCCGTACACCTTTCTCTTCCATGTAATGGAGTATGTATCCATGTCTCCATGTACTGTTACTATTCATAATAAGTTAACATATCGTGTAAATTATAATAACTATGCATATATCACAATCATATAGTATACTCATGTCTATATTTGTTTTCAGAGAGAATACCATCAGACCATTAGTTACAATAATATATGTGATGGAAGAAGATTTACAGATTCAGTGCTATATGTTTTCTGCTCATCGGACTAGCTTTAAATATTGTATATGTAATAGTCATCAGCCTAGGAATAGTTGTCGTTTACTAAAATGTATTTATATGACTCACTTTATCACCTGTAATTATGTGCAAGTCAAATTCAATTTTGTTAGGAGTCTTTAGAAATCTAAAACTATTTATTATATAGTGAGCGATTCTTTATGTTTATAAAAGTTATATTTATAATTGAATGTCAAACATTCCGTCCGTTATGTACAAAAGCTGATTCTGTGTCATGATCATTTATTTATCTATTGTTTATTTAATGTAATTAAACAACGAGTAGTCATTATAATTTTAGTTTTATGTATATGTATACATATATAAATATATACATAAAAATATATATATATATATATAAATACCTACTGTATTTTAAATGTTATATTAAAAAGATATTTTAGAAAATTTACGAAACAAATTTAGTAAATGTTTAACTGAATAATTTTTTGTTTAGTAATTGAAATCAGAGAAATGTATAAAAGTATATTTTTTGTACCATAATTGTTTCCCAAATTGGTTAATTAAATCATGTTATTCATCATTATATGTCTGGATTCTTTCTCTTTTCCTTCTAGATTAAAAGGATTCTATTTAATATTTAATTATATACATAACGATAATATGATAATCAAAATTTTTACCTATGCTTAAAGAAACAAAAATACTATCATCCGATCTTCAGCAGTTTTAGAGGAATGTGGTTTGGATATTTACCCATTAAGGAGGTTATAAAACTGAAACAATTATTATTCACAATAAAATATCATTTCAAATTTTAACCCTTATAATAAAATGTTCTAAATTTAATATGCATGTAGTCAAAGCCATAGTTTCTTCATTTAAATGTGTGATTTAGAACAGGGAATGAATATTCTGAACCTGTACCACTAAAACCCATGGTGCGTGTGTTCTGGATTCAGTACTTTTAAAAAAAGTATTGTTTCTTGGTCAATAGTTGTTAAAGGTGATATGACAATGATCTCACTCATTATTTATTGATTTCACCCTTAACTAATTATTTAATTAAGAGTAACCACTATTTAGAAGCTGATTATACCCCAAGAGTGTCCCCCAACCCTGGAGTTCATCCAAGGCTAATGTAACATAATAAATAATTACCTACCACAGCCGGATCTGAATTCAGGATTCAGAGCATAGGAGTACAGTGCCTTATTCACTGAACTATCCCACTTGTAATCAGCATTCTAATGTGTAAAAAAAAATTAAGGGAATTGATTATGTTTTATTTATTTATTTTTAAATCATAATAGTTTTTCAATGAACATCAGTGAGAAGTTCTAAAAAGAATAAGTGGACAGTCTTAAGTGGTTTTTGTAATCGAAGTAATATTCTTTATATTAAATGCACCTTACAAGAGAAACAAAAGCTCGTAAGAAGTGGCAGCGCACTCGTTATCATTCAGATAAGTCTAAATTTAATCAGCTAACAACAGAATTGCGAGAAGAAATCAGACAATTTAAATATGAAAATTTTAATACCCTCTTAAATAGCTTGGATAATAACAATACGTCTATTTGGCGAATGATAAAATGCTTGTTGAATCATCAAGAGACATCGCATCCAATTTGATATTCTGATGGCTCGTGAGTAAAGTCAGATGCTTAGAATGCTGAATTATTCGCATGCCACTTAGAAAATATATTTACCCCTCACAGTGATTTTCAAGATTCGCTCAGTGCAAAATTGGTAGAACATTAATTAGATATTCCTTTAGAGGTGACCTCTCCCCCTCCCTCCCTGCCTAAACCTTTTCACCCAAATGAAGTTAGCAGTATTATAAATAGTTTACCTAATCGAAAATCTCCAGGATTCGATCTCATAACTAACCATATTCTAAAGAATTTACCAAAAAAGGCCGTTATATTCTTAACAAACATATTCAATTCCATTCTTAGAACGACACATTTTCCGATTTTATGAAAATATTCAATCATAACTGATTCACAAACCCAATAAGCCTATAGACCGTCCTGTTATCGCCCTATTAGTCTTCTACCTTCTCTATCTAAAGTATTCGAAAAAATTCTGTTTTGGCGTTGAAATTCACTTAGTCTATTTGATGTCATTCCAAATTTCCAGTACGGGTTCAAACAACATCATTCGATTATTCAGCAATGTTACCCCCTTGTAGATTACATATCTTTCTCGCTAGAATCAAAATGGTATTGTCCTGCCATTTTTCTTGACATGAGCCAGATCAATTTTTGATAGAATATGGCACGATGGTTTATTACATAAATTAAAAACGATTATTCTTCTGATGTATTACTTAATTTTACTATAATATCTAAAAGATAGATTTTTCCGTGTGAAAATGGGGACTGAGTTTTCTGCCATCAAACAAATACAAGCTGGAGCACCTCAAGGCAGCATCTTGGGTCCAACACTTTTCAACATTTACTGTTCAGACATTCCAAAACACTGTTGCTGATGACTCGGCAATATTAACATCTAACAAGGATGCAGCTAAGGCTTCTCATGTTCTTCAAGAACAACTAGACGACATAGCTTGTTGGGGTAAAAGGTGGAGGATAAAAATGAACGAGTCTAAGAGCCAATTTGTTTCATTTACACTTAGACATGACTCTTGTCCTCCAGTGTTCTTTAATAATATCGCTCTACCACCTTCAAAAACTGTACGATATTTGGGTCTCCAGTTTGAAAAACGACTGACATGGGCATACCACATAAAACAAAATAGAAAAAAACTTAATCAGCGATACAGACTTTTTTCTAGGCTACTTGACTGACGTTCTAAATTATCTGTGACTAATAAATTATCTATTTACAAAGTCCTCATTGAACCACTTTGGACATATGGGATCGAACTATGGGGAACAGCAAAGAAATGAAATATAAAAATCATCCAGTCATTCCAGTCAAAAGTCCTTCGAAAATTGTAGACAAATGTCCTCATAGAAAATTGTTATTACATAATATAACTTTTATATTTCAAACCTTACGTTACACACTGTTCTTAACACTCCTTTCATCATGGCTACTGCCACTGACCACTTTAATAATTTTCATGACAGACTGACTCTAAATTCAAATCCACTTACTCAAGCTCTATCGACTACTACTAATCCATATAATCCGCCCAGAAGACTGCTGGAACTTATTGCATTGAGCTACTTGCTTTACTAACTTTTTTTGTGTGTGTGTTATGTTATTATGTGTTATTTTACTACTTTTTTTTGGTTTGTTTTTTGTCTTTTTTTTGTTATTACTATTGTTTTTTTTATGCTATCATTTATTCTCCTTAATATCATATTTGCTGAATACCGAGGTAGATAAAAAATCTATTGTAAGCCAGGAATATGTATAATTAATAATAATAAAAAAAATCTATATACTTTTAAAAAAATAATTTCTACTAAAAGTGGGGTGGTAAGTGATAATTGTGTGTTGCATCGCACCAGATTTTTTAGTACAGATTTTCAAATTGTAATAAAATAATGATTTTTCTACCATAATTTTAACTTTTACTTTTTTTTTGGTGAAAATTTAATATAATTTTACCGAAAGTAAGACTCAAGCTGTTAATTAATAATATATTTTATTGTTATGGACAGCTACAATTTCTCGTTTACATTTTAGTGATACCCACTGAGAAAAAAGTCTTGATTAATGACGCATACCTTTTACAAGCATCTCATTTAAGAAAGACAATCTTTAATACACCAACAGTTAAACCCACACTGTTTTAAAGTTATTGTTTCATTCATGATAACATTTCCGTCTATATATTTACTATTAAAGATTGTAAGCGTTCTTTATTTATTTTATATACATTTTAATGTAATGGTCTATATAGCTTTTTTGATTGTATATCTGCTAAATAATCTTTCAGAGTCATTACTCCTAACTTAAAACTTTTTAGTTACTTTGAAAAAAAAAGGTATTAGTTAGGTAAAAGCAATCAAATTTATTGCATTAACACCCATAACTTTGTAAATAATGATCAAATCATGACAGGAACAAAGTCAGTTTTCAGAGTAGAGAAACAATACTTCAAATGAAAATCTGTAAAACATTTGACTGGAAAGCGAGGGAGTATTTGATCACTCGGGTTATCCATTTGGCTCCTGGCTGTCCAGTATATCTTTTCCTTAATGAAGTTCTCTAATTTAATGCTTCCATTGCTAAAAGCTGTGTCCATCTCATATATCTCATTCTCCCAGCACAGAGGGCACATAGAGCTTTCCTTGACTCCGATCCTGTGCAAGTGCCTTTGTAGATAATCATATCCAGTCATCATGCGGAAATTTCTTTCTTAGGAATACGGCTTATTCCAGACTTACGTCATGCAAGCATTTTTCTTATATTTTATACGTAAAATACAGAACAATTTTCCACACAGACCCTCCAAGATGTTTTATGAATTCTTGCAAGATATCATCTGGCCCAGTGTGTTTTTACATGACATCTTCTGAATAGCTGAGTTTAACTCTGTAGCAGCGAATGGGTAACAAAAAAGTGAGATTTCTGATTTGTTAAGACATGTTGCAAATAGTTACTAGCCCTAGAGTAATATGAACTTAGAGGAAAACGATTAGCTTGGACTCTGTCTTTCTTAAAATCAAGCCAAAAACTTACTATATGGATTTCTTTTAGGCTCTATTATTTTCCTTCAATCTCTGCAGATGAGTATTCTATGAAGATGAATATTTCTTAACATAACCTCTAGGAAAAGCTTACATGGCACATTTAAGGTTTGTTTCACATATTTCCTTATTAATAACACCCATATTAACTTTTATTATATGCTCATTTAACTTTACATCTCATAATTTGGAAAATAATTCCTATTTAGCTTTTTTCTAATTCCATTTGGCTAAGTGATGTTCAGAGGGTCCACTAGTTCTTTGGATCACAATTATTATTTTTAATATCTTGTGTCTCAATGTTCCAGGTGCATGTTCCACAGAACAGTAAATGTCATTTTAGAGTTATACGAGTCAGAATTACATCCAGATAACTATTATTGCCCCAGTATGAAAAAATATAAGTTGGGATGTCTTTGGGATGTGTTTAATAAGTTGGTATGTGTTTTATAATTTCTACAGAGTTTAAATCGATGAAATGCTCCCAATGTCAGATGCTTGATTATAATCTCATCTAGTGGATGGATGGGGCATTAAGATCATCTATAAAATGTCTTGGGATTCCCATTGAGCTTCAAGCCAAGTCTGATCTATTCATTGGGGGTTGTACACTATATAAAACTCCCTAAAGATCTTATTTTTCCATACATCAAACTGTACAGCCTCCAAATTATCGTCTTCTTCAATTTCTTTCTCAATTGGAAAGTTTACCTTGTGGGTAAAAATTGTGAATACAATCGTTATTTATAAACATGTATTAATAAAATAATATGTTTTTATTAGGCTTAAAGAAAAAAATCATGCCTACATATCTCCCTTCTTTAAAATCTGTAAACGCAAACCAACAAGATCTGACCTAACACAATCCTCCAAACTATGCCATGCCATTAAAGTACAGTATCTGCTACATATTATAATACAGCTTACCTACTAACTATTTCTGAAAATAATATTCTATGAACAAAAATAAAATACAATACGTTTGGGATTTGTTTTAAAAAAAAGAACTTGCAACTTGCATTTCTAAATTCCTAAATGATAATTGGGAATCCATCAAGCAATTACTAAGCTCATTGGCGAATTCATAAATGGAATTCAGCATGTTCCTTTATTCATCCATTTAATCCAGGACACCTCATAAGTGCTTGGAGTTCATGTATCTACTGGATATAACCACAGTATTGTTATTTCTGAATGATGTCAACAATGATCTCAACATTGAGTTTAGGAATGGCCTGATGGATTTTCGATGCTTATCAGTAATCTCAACATTGAGTTTAGAAACTTATCCTATTTATATTCAGTTCTATCTAATAATCTATCTAAGAAAACATTGTCTTATATATTTTTTATTTTCATATGTTTTGTAAAATTTCAATGGAATCCAACAGATTGCTCCTAAACTCAGCACAAATAACTGCCCAATGGTGCTGGATTAAACCGATTGATGAATTTCTTCAATTTAATTATAACTGAGTTAAGGTACTTACTCAATATTATTTAAGATGATAAAAATAGATAACTTTTCTCCAAACAAACGTAATCCATTTTCACACAGATTATAAAATCGGTTATAAACAAAATAAATCAAAACATTTTTTATCATTCTTTATTTGTTCATTAATATACAAAATTCAGTAAGTACAAATCATCACATATTACATGATAGTAGAATAAGCATTCGAAGCAGAGAATAAAATAGAAGAAAACCATAATTGTTCTATATAAATAATCCAAATTGTGCTTACATATATTTTCTCATAAATATGTTTTTATCTCTATCATAATTATAAACCATTTAAAATAAAATCTGAAACAGCATAAATAATCAATCAGATAATAATATAAAGAATTAAAATATTTTATTTTTCAAGAGTAACTTAATTTTAATTCCAAATAAAATATAATATATACAATACAATAATGTATAATTAAAAACAATTTAATACAAATCAATATCAATAAATAAACTAAGCTTAAAATTGTATAAGTATAAACTTTAAACTTAGATGAACCATCGCCAATGTTGCCAAAAAGCTTAATTAGCACATGGCTGTCACGTCATAAATGCAAATTCTGGTTCCTTTATATTTGATGTGCACAAACATTTAAAATTTTGAAACAAAACAAGAATAAAACAAAATGACACATCGATTGCTAAATACAACACTTTTTAATCACTACAATGTTATGAGCATGTCAACACCAATATACTGCAACATAATTTGAATATTAGTTATATACAATTAAACATCATGATAACCCAGTAAAATTTTCTTGAGTATTACAGTTTTCAATATACAAAGACCATATATTCAGAAAATGTTTATTGAACGAACCCTTGCATTTTCAGGAATGTTGCTTTTTGATTATCCATTTTGGCAAAGTATGCTGGTTTTTGGCAGTTTTGATTCATGTATGTGTGTGTGTACATATATATTTATAAATATTAGTCTATAAATAGATAAAATAACTTTTCAACACACAATTAATCTATCCTATGTTTTCTAAGTAGAAGTTTGGCATTTAAGTATACAAAGTATGAATTATATAAATGTATAAAACAGTTGTGTAAAAACATATATATAGTACACAAATTGTAATGAAAATCTTTATCTGGTACCAAAAGTTACAATCAAATTAGTTCAAGAATTATAATCCAAATTTTCAGTCTCATAAATAAGATAATTTTGATAAATTCAGTGTATCATTTTTTTGTTATTCTGACTTTACTATTAAAATAACTATATTTAAAAGAAACACAACTTACAAATACAGCCACATAATATATCATATCCTACATACTAATTTACATTTTCTTTGGACTAAAAACACCTTATATTATAAAAAGATTGCATTTTTTAAATCAAAACATTAGAAAAGATGAGTTTATTATCTTTCTTTTAAATAATGTAAAGGCCACAACCATTTAAGCAAAGGATCCTGGGATGTATCTATTAATAAATTAAATGCGATGTTTTTTTCTTTAATAGTGTGTTCCTCATAGTATCGTACAACTTAAAAAAATAGCTATAACTATGCAAAAACAGGCAATATACTTAGGGAAGGGTTTAAGATAAAATCATTAGCCTACATAAATATATTGGGGCCTATATAGAGGTCAGTGTAGTTAGTACTCCCATTTGGTGGCTGAGGCATAATCCTGATCCCCAAGCCGGAAAGCTCCATTTTTGCCAGCACTGAGGTAGCCACCCCCAGGGGAAGCAACTTTCAGGCAGATCCTGGTAGGCTCCCGAAGTTCAAGGAAAAATCCTTCGGGGGTATCAGATTCTACTGTCACACCTTCACTGTCAACATGCCAGTATTTACCTGTTTGGGTTCCTGTAAACATTTCCATAGTTGTCATTAAAGGGTGATGATGGGTAATAGATAACAACTACAAATAACTGAAACTTGACAAAAAAAATCAGCAAAATTTGATATATGAAAATAATACTGTATCAGTAGTAAAAAAAAGGAACATTATTGGTTTTTATGACAGTGTCCATCAAAATATTATATCGACAGCCACACTGCAAAATTCTGTAAGTGCAAAACATAAAATTATTTAAAAGACAAAATGAACCACGTATTTCTTATTCTATGAAGTAGATTTTCTGTTCAATTTTTATTGCATGCTTAAGACAAATATGTAATGTTCTAAATTGCTCTATCTGAGGCCAAGATCAACCGGGAAAGCTCAAAACCCCACATTCTAATTAAATTGTACTTACAGGCTTTTGCAGTATGATTGTCAATATCTTATATAATTATATCTTATTTTCAGTAACTATTATAAATAAAATAAAAATGTAAAATTAATAATGAGCAAACTTTGAACAAACGTTTTTAAGAACAATTGATGGATATTGCTAATTTTTGTTAATTGATTATAATTTAAACAGTGAGTTTACATACCTTTGAAAAATACAACACCTTTATCACCCCTTTCAACTTGAATAGTTTCATAAGTAGCTCTGTTACATTCTAGACGAATGTTAGAACCAGCCTTATAACCAACGAATCCTTGTTCACATTTCAAAACCAGGATTGGCCTAAATAAAAAAAATTAAAACATAAATAAATCTCAATGTTATATATAAATAATTTTATCAATAAAGCCACTACAACATAAAAATTACTGTCTGATAATATCATAATTATTAAAGATCTTAGCTTCATGCTTTAATTATGTTGATGTGACTTTTTCTTAAAAAAAAAATTGTTCTGCTGTTAAATAAAAAAAATTCCATTACTGAAATTGAATCCTACATACACCAGCAAGTATGAAACTATCCAACTTTCCACTTTGTTAATTAATTTTATGATTTTCCTTAGGTAATTAAATAATTGACCTATGATTAAATGAAGATTAAACAAAATACAGGATAGTATCATGTATTTAAAAGCAATATATCAGGTAGTCTCTACACCACATAGTCTGGTCCCATTCCTATGCTCATCATGACCAAGAAGAAAACATGTAGGTTCTTTCTCATACAATGTATGTTACCCCATCAAGATCAATTGAAAAGATCATTAGATCCATCAAAACAGATTGGTGATATTATTGGTGATTTGTTCCAAATTAAGTTTTAATTTCAGTCATTTTATTCCATTTTGCTGCGAATTATAGTTGCATTATTAATTTTTAGTATTTCTAAATGTACTAGAAGTATGCCAAACTAAGGAACTTTAATAATTTCATAAACTAATTTGTTTTCATTAATTTTATATCTAGAGGGCCTTGATGGAGAAAACTTAAAAAATAAAAATAAATTGTGGGTAAACATTTAAAAAAAAAAAAAGAAAACTGTTGATTATTATGAAAATTTATATAAAAAGATTTGAAACATTGTTGTACCCAATCTAGATAAAATAATGAGCTACTAACAAAATATCCCATTCTTCTCTTTGACAACTTTTTATGTTTTCTTGTCTCTAGATGCGTTTTGGTAAAAGTTATTAATTAAAACCTTCAAAAATTGGCACATTCTTGTACCAGTACATAATTACTATTAGAGAAAAAGAAATAAGCTGCTGACCTGTTGATGAGATAGAAGAAGTATTTGCATGTGTCATCAATAGTATCTTGATTAGCATAGAGATGACCAGATCTTTTTGTTGCCACAAATTTTCCATTATTCGCCCTGAAGCAGACTGATCCATCTCCTTGCCAAACCAGATCAAATAGAGCATTTGATGATCTATAGAATAAGAAACAAATAAATTTTTAAAGTTCAATAGCAAACTTAAAGTTAATTGGTAAATATGAAAGTATTTTAAGAGAAAAACAGAACATGGGTCATGTTAAAGATAATGGATAAATAAATATATTAAAGTTTTTTAAACAATTCTTTGACAAGTAATGCAATCTGTTAACTAAATTTATAGAAGAAAAGTATCGGAGTAATAGAACAAATTGTATTTTGAAAGAAAAAAGAAGAATTTCTGTTTGAGAGGCAGGATACATTTCTTTTTTACCAAAAAAATATATTAGCTACTAACAACACAAAAGTTGCTTATGCTATACTTTTATGAAAATAAATGTTTATTATTTACATATCCAGATTGATAAAATAGTCAATTAAATCAATCGAATAATATATTTTCCAAATTAATCTTCATAAAATGAGTTAATTTTGTACCCGATTCATGGTCTGGCAATAGAAACCATATTTTAAAATTATATAAGAATTTAACCAGCTGACAAATATGAATCGAAGTTGTATTATGGCTTTGAATAATTTTTAAATACAATAAGAGCTAATTATACTACATTATAGTTATTTGAACAACACAAAATTAGATACAACTTATATCTGAATATGTTTGGTATAGTAGTGAAACACCCTAGTGACAGTATTTCTTCCTCCTATCAATTAAAGGAACATTGTATTGGTATTGGATTGCACTCAATAAGCATTTCAGCTGAATTACTGTAACAGCAATGAGATTTCTAAGAAAGAAAATAGAGGAAAAAGCGCAAGAAGAGGTGACAGAACTCCATGCTAACAGAGCTGAAGAAAGAAGTATTAGAATTTTGTAAAAACATAAAAAATTAATAAAACTTTTCAATTGTAGCTACTGAACAAACTTAATTTCAATGTTTTTTCAATAGATAAATCAGTATTATAATAATAAGCAACAGATCATATTTTTTAAAAACCATTAATAAATAGAAATCCCCCAAAATTTGAGAAAATAATAATAATTAGCGTTCCTCCAGTAGCCGAAATCCGACCATAATCATTAAAAATTTGATGAAAACGTACAATTTAATAGAAGATACATTCAATAAAAAAAGAGTAAATCACAATTTAAAAATCCTCATTTATTAATAAAAACGAAATTTCAATTTTAATTAAAAATCGAGCTTAAACTACTTAAAATTATTTATAAGTAATACAAAATAAACACATTCAAAAACATTTAATTTCCATTTTGATTTACGTGTGTTATTATCACAATAAATTAATGTTATAATTAAGAAAGTAAAAAATAAATTTAAATTAGCAATTTTAATTCAGTTTAAATCAATTTTTATGTAGAGATTATCTGTAAACAATGTTCTGTTATTGTTTAGTAGTAAGTAGCCTTGTCCATTGCCAATGAGAATATTAATTTGAAAACTCTACTTGCTGCCACATACAATTGTCCATGAGAAAAAACGGGATGTCGCAATAATATTACATTTTCCAAAAGTTTGATCCTGTGATTTGTTTATGGTCATAGCAAATGCAGCTATTAGTGGGAACTGTGTTCTTTAAAATTAGAAGTATTAATTGGAATTAAAATTCTTTTATTTACAGCAGCTCCTGTTAGTAATTCACTCTCATTCATGTTACATTAATTAAAGCTTGTGCAGTATTTAATTCTCTTCAAATAATTAGTTTGTTAGTCAGTTGGGTATAGTGAGTTTTATCTGTTGGATATCTGGTTCTATGCCACTTCGATCTTGCTCTGCGTTTTTCCTTCAATAAGATACGAATATGCTGTGGCAAGTCAGTCTTTTGTGAATTGTTGAACTTATTGATAAAAGTGTTATTATTTATACTGTCTGTTATTGATGCTGTCAGTTTTTCAATGGCACCATTAATGTCCTCTTTTGTCTTTAGCGGAATTTTTAAGTCTAGTTTGTTTTCCAAATCTTCACGAAATTGGTCCCAGTTCACTCGTCCTGTGATCAATTTAGGAGGTGATGGTTTAGGAGCATAGCTCGAATGTAGTGAAAGTAGAACTGGACTATGGTCTGAAGAAAGGTCATCAAGGGATTTGATTATCGTTTGTGAGGAGAAGATCTAAGAAGTTATAAATATATCTAGAATATCGGGACGTTTTTTGAGGGATGTTGGCCAATAAGTAGGACTCATGGGCGAAAGGATTGAATAATTGTTGGAAGATGAAACACGTGATAGGATGTTACCGCGGGGGTTGGATGTTCGACAACCCCATCGTTGGTGTTTAGCATTGTAGTCCCCTCCAGCAATGAAGCGCGATCCGAGGGATTTGAATAAGGAATCAAGGAGGTTATAGGAGAGGGAATTACCAGGAGGGCAGTATACAGCTGAGAATGTGAGATGGAAAGGGTGAGTTGAAAGGACTACGGAAGTTGATTGAATGGCATCAGTTGGAGTGGAAGGAATAAGGGAATGGGGTAATGATTTATGTATAAGGATGCAAGAACCGGCATGGGAGGTGTTGTCTGGGTGATCAGTTCTATAAGTGAAGTAGTCACGTATGTAGAAATGTATTCGTTTAGTGAAGTGAGTTTCAGTCAATAGAGCAATGTCAATGTGATTATTATGAAGAAATAAGTCAAGTTCGTCACAACAATTTTTTAAAAATTTATTTATTGAGTACAACAATCTGTCTGTTGGACATTGGTTAGAGTGAGGTAAGATAACAATCACACTATATGTACAAAAAATATAAAATAAATAGAAGCAACCTCAGTAAATGTAAAATTTTCGATTTATCAAAAACCAAAATAAAGGAAATCGTCTTTGCAAAAGAAAAAGTACTAAATGTTTAAAACAATATGCATCAATGCACTAAATAATCCGATTTCAATGATTTTTTTTTCATTTTGTAGGGAATTCAGAAAGCTTTCAAATAAGTATTGGTAGTATTAATAAAAAATTGTGTACTTTTTGAGTTATTCACAAATAAAATTCTGAATTCATTGTAAAAATTTATGCAGCTTGTTTTCGGGAAAGTATGTTGTATACATAAATTATAAGGATTTCAAGGAGAAGACTTAAGCCAAGTTTCATTACATTGTTACAACCGTTTTGGCGCTACAGTCTAATCACATTTTCGGCCACCAGTTCGAAATGAAAGGCCGAATGATAATGAATGTATACAAAAACACTCCTAAATCTGATTGTGAAGTCGTGTCAAAATTTCAAAGAAATTGGTGAAGAACTTTCGGAGATTAGCTGTTTTGAACAAACTATCATTTATACTTTAATTTATATACGCTTTTTCATATTTTTATTTATTGATAACACTAAAGCTCTTCAATAGCTATTAAACAAAAAAAGAAAGAAGAAAATGGATTATAATAACAATAGAGGAGAAAAAGGGGCTCAACCGTTTTGTGTTTGCCTATTTATATTTTGATGATTATTTCATATAAAATTAATTATGGAAATAGAACTATGGCTCATATCATACTTTTTTTGTAATTTATGAGAAAAATAAATTATAAAATAGGTAACAATATTAAAATATTTAAAAAATATCCTTAAACAACAAAAGTTTTAAATATTATCATGAATCAGTTAAACTAAATAAAATAAAACGGTAAAAAAACACTATGATTCATTGAATTTTAATAATTATAAGACTTAAACCTTTTATCTCCTGAAGCCTGAATTCCACCACCTGTTTCCAGAGTCCAGTAGCGGTCTTGCATTGTTCTAAGGTACCACCTTTTAGTATCATTGTCAAATTCCAGCTGGAATGTTTCATGATCAGAGATTTCATCTTGGTTAGCAGTAACATCAACACCTGAAGATAAAAATAAAATAAAATGTCAAAAAAGTACAATATTTACTATTTATATTTAATGAGCCAATAACCTAGGTAAGGGAAGTAAATAAATAATTAATGTTATTAAAAACCAAACTAACTGAATAAATGAGTCTGAAAAGTCTAACACATAATTTTAACTATACATTTTATGATAAATTTAATAAGGAAAAAAATATTATAATAAAATTTAAGAAAATAAATATTTATATATACGCTATCTACATATACTAAAGAAAATTTGGTTGAAATGATCAATTTTATCCTACTAAAATAAAATTGTATCCCTAAATATGCTAAGTATGTCATCTTATACAACTAAAAAATAAAAATTGTTCAATTTAGCCCAAAAAAATGCAATTTCGAGCAATATTAAAGTTTAATTTATTAGTCTAAAGCTTGTGAATCAGAGAGGTAATTGATTTTAAAGATGTTACAAGCAATATAATGAAAATTGCAATAATATGGAAAATCAGCCTTAATTTTAACTATCAAAAAGATACAACAAATCTCATCACTGTTATCTAATCATTTCACCTATTAAAACTTTCTTTCCTGATAAAATTGCCATGCAGTTTTTCTCTGGATAAACAAAGTTCTGCAAATGTTATACTATTTTTTTTTTCTTTTTTAGGGAAAGGAGAGGAAGGAATGTCAAAAAATTATACAACAGAAACGTTACAGATTGGATTATAAAATTACCATTACAGATATTACAGATTGGACTAATCTTTATGACAAATTACCATAGATTCTACATATTATCTATTGCTTAAATTAAATTACTTCTGGTACAAAAATCTGCTAACTATACTTTTTTTTTAATTTCAAGTAATAAAAAATATTTAGATATAATTTGATAAAAATAACTAAAATTCATTCAATAATAACAAATAAAAAGATTTTCCATATTATGGTTGAATATTGAGAATAAATGAATTATTTACCACAAAGTTTACTCCTGTAGATAAGCACGTTTAACATTATATTATATATTGAAGAATAATGTCATAGAAATGTATATTTATAGTAGATATTCAGACTTAAATGCATCATGCAATCTTGGGGATAGATTAAATCAACTGTAAAAGCCCTAACAGATTTCACAAATTAGCAACAGCTAACTGAAGCTAGTACCAAAAAAAGGTAGTTATAATAATGGTTTTAGATAAATTGCATGTATTGAATTCTCATTAAAATTCAAGTTTTAGCCCTCCTATCTCTTAAACTTTTTCCTTCATCTCGAAAAAAAAAACTACTAAAAAAGCATTTTTTTCATTTTTTTCTCATTAAATCTTGCAGTGTATTTTGGGGCAAACAATGACTATGGTTAAACAACATAAAAAAAAAAAAGTGAAACCTGTGAAATGTCTAACTTGTTTTTGTTTTTTTTAGACATTTTTGCAGATTTTAACTGACACTTTTCTCAATAGTTGTTTTATTTTTTGGTCTAAAATGCATTGGAAGTGAGCCAATTACAAGAAAAATACAAAAAGTACTTTTGCTTTGCTTTTTTTCAAGATAGTGGAAAACGTACGAGGAGTGAGAGGTTGAAAACTTGGATTTTAATCATTGGGTCAATACCTACATCGTATCTGAAAACTAAAATTACTTTACCTTTTGTGATCCAAAATATCTTTACTAGAATAATAGGTCAAAATAATGTTGGAAAGAAATATCATCTCTTTTTTTTTTTTTTTTTTTGCATAAATTTTCATATTTCAATAAAAAAAGAAAAAAAAAAATATATATATATACAATTTCCTAGAGTACTGTATGATACAAGATTTGAAGATGACTGGCAGTTTATAAAATATTGCATAGGATAATGAAGATCAAACAATTCTGTATGTCATACAGTATGTGACAAAACAAAACAAATTATACAGTGCGTATATAAATATATAGCGTTTTAAATAAATATAAAACTGTCCCGAACCCACGTTGAGTGCTGGCCGTAGATAACATTCACAGCCAAATAATTATAATTGGCCAAGCGGGAAGGAAAGAGCAGAAGAATGGTCCAATTACTGTGCCTCCTGATAGGAAGGGTGTGAGTCATCGGCCCAACCAGTGATCATGGAGACGAGGATCAAGGATAAAAGGATCGCTTAACCTTTTAGATTACTTCAGAGAAATTTTTTTTTAATACTTCATAACAGAAGTGTTACAAATGCTAAAAAAAAACGGAGGAACCACTGATATTCCGTAAGGATTTTGTTATAGTAATTTCAAAATCTTTTTTCTATCTTTCCCAGTATATTCAACAGACTAGTTTTTGAGTAGATCATATTCAAGGTATGGATTAGTTTCAGCCCTAGGCGCAGATTTCGGGGGGGGGCAGGAGGAAGATTAAACAAATAGAGATGGAGCAAGAATATCGTTTCCGTTCCTCCTCCAAATATATCGCAGAATTAAAAATAAATTTAAAATTTATAACAATTAATCTGTATGAATGAAGAAAATATGTTAACTAAAATCAATTTACAAAATAAGAAAAGTCTATTAGGAAAGGTCGATGACTAAGCTAAAGGCTAGAAATAGGTATGCAAGCATTTTACATATATCCCAATATGTCATATAGCACATTTCATATATCCCAATTATTGAAATTTAGTACATATTCAAAGATAGCAACCTACCCTATAATTTTATGATATATTCATGTGCCTTCCATTTTTACGTGAAGATATTATCACATTTCTCGCGGCAAATTTGAAGCATCGGATAATTTAGAATTTATCTCACTGCCTCAAGCCTTTAAATAAAATTAAAAATATGTAGTAAATTAAATTGTTTTTTTAAAGGATATTTTTAAATATACATACCTATAATCCATTAGCGACAAAAAATTTTCAAATATACATATCAGAAAATCGAAATTATACTGGGCAGCAAGATGTCGGATGGCCAAATGACCAACGAATGGCATAAGAATAAAAAAAAAAATAATCCATTAGCAAAAAAAATATATATATGTTATAAATATATATATATACATTTTTTTCTTACACTGTATTATATTATTCGTTATACAATGATTATGCTGATTATGTTGATTGTCACACATAGTTTTTATACATGATATAAACTTCTAAGTCTATTTTTTGGAGGTAGAGTGGCTCCCCCAACAATAATGAAAATTCTGCACTTATGATTACAGCTATACAAGATTTAGTATTTTTTGCAGGTGAAAGGATTTTTTTTTAAAATAGAAAACCCATTTCAGATATCATATTAATTATAACTTATTTCATTTATTTTAATTTTGGATAAAAAATAAGAACTTTATTAAAAGCAATATATCCTTGCGGATGGAAAGTTAATTCACGAAGAAATATTTAAAAAAATAAGACAAAATATAACATTACATAAAAAAAATATAATAATAATTTCTAAGTATAATTTATATATATTGCATTAGTTTTATTTTTTAACAAATGAACTAATCGTGGCACTGGAACCTGACTCATTGTGAGACACGGTAGCTTATTCTGGGAAGGTATTGGATAGGTCGCTTGGAATGTGCAGTTGAGAACCTTCGGGACATCTTTCACAGCGTTGATGCAGCGGAGAAGTAAAATTAAAATTCCAAGATTAAGGAATCTTAAATTTAACCAATCAAATAACATGTTAGACGTAAAAGATGTAAAGCTAATATTACTTAAGCTAATAATATTCGTCAACAAAAAATAAACTTCGTAACGTAATTATAATAAGTTTTTATTACAATAATCCTCAGCCGTTGACTTCAAATAACATCTCTAAAGAAATATCATCTAAACAAATCTGGTGCCTAATCGTCAGACCACACTACACACCTCCGTATACACAGCTAAACGAGTATAGTGTACACAACCAGTTTCCTCTAAAAGACGTTTAGTAGACAATTAATTGGACAGAACTAAATATTTGTAGAGGCGTTGGGGAGTGCGAGAACAGAGAGGCTATGGTGAATGCTATCTGTAACAGACAGGAAAGAGGGACCGACTGACATTGAAAATGGCCTTCCAAATATAGCTTCTTTCTCCAGCGGTCGCCGGGTCTGACCTTATCTGGAGGGTGGGTATTCCACCATTGTTGATATACCACCCGCTCTCGAAGGGCAATTAAATTGAAGACGTTTATTTGTAAAATTTCCTTTAATAGCATTTATTATTTTATAAACAAATAATTTATTTAATAATAATTAATTATTGAGTGAATAATTACTAAGAGAGTTTTAAAATAATTTGTTCTGCCAGTTTTTGTTAGGTTCTTATTAGGAATCACTTCTTTACATTAATCTCTATCACGCAAACCAATATATTTTTTATCATTTTATTTATTTAAAAAATCTATATAATATACTTCACTAATGCACATTTTCTTTAAAATATACGTCTCGTGTGCAGGAAAACAAATTTATATAATTATTATAGAATAAAGATAACCCTGCCTATAAACCTAAAAGGCGTAGCTAAAAAAAATTCTAATAATTACAGAAAACCAACACTGCTTTACCAATACTGCCAATCACTTCAGGATTTAAACGTTTTTTTGATGTTAGAAGAATTATACTTAAGAATGGATCGCTGACTAATATTGCTCAGCAAGTATAATGTAAAAGAAATGTAAGTTCTAAAATTAGGAATGTAAAATAGAGTTCAACAAATTCAACGGATCTTCATAAGAACCACACCTTCGAATGACATTATTAACTACTAGGAATATAAAGCGGTAATAAGAAAAACGAGAAATGGAGTGTTGACCTAAAAAGAGAAGAAGTGAAATGAAGAAAAGAAAAGATAGCAGAATAGATGAATCGTAAAATAAAGTCACGATCCTTAGGGTTTATGCTAAGCCCACGCTATTCTCAGACTGACAATATTACTCAGTGACGCCCGATTACTTAAGTACGTTTTTGAGGACTTCCTAATTTTTTTTTTTTCATTATCTTTCCATGTTTGTGTAATTTTTTGATCAATTGTTCTTATATA